TTGGTATCATTAATTCATAATTTTAACAACAATTTCATGGTTTATGATTCTTGGTTCTTCAAGCATGTCAAACACAAAATTCATCCAAACGATCATTTATGAACGTAGAAACGATCTATACAAACATTCTATTCACTAAATATATCTACGGGCTTACCTCGAAGCTCAACAAAGGTATTGGAAATTTTTCAGCGAAACTTACGCCAATGATAACTCCTTGCTCCAGCGACTTCGACGGTAATCAATAACACCAGACTACTCTGATCTCATCACTATATATCAAGATTCTTATGAACTAATTTTCAGAAGGAATGGTGCATATTTGAAGATTTTGAGTACTCCTTATATACGAGTTGATGAAGGACAAGAGAACATATGCTGCGTAAGATTCCCAACACTGTGACTTCGCTCGGCGATAGTGGAGGAGGAGGCGCCTTTCCCTGATTGGGACTAATTTTAGTCCATGTCGGGGTACACTTTTTTGTTCAACTTTCTCCGAATTGAATTCCGTTTGCACCGTTGCCGATCGGACAGTTAAACTCTATCCAACAATATAATTTTTTATATTTATTTGTAATTATTTTTCCGACATCATATTTTTGGGTGTTAGAATTTGACAAAGTCAAAATTGGTTTAGTTGACCTGTATCATAAAAGGTTCTCACATTTAATTGACATTATTTATTTTCATAATTTATTTCAATAAATAATTTTAATGTTTACATAATAAATAAATTCTTCATTTACTCTTGATTTAGGTCTGTACTCAGATTCACAATCAAGATCACACAAATAGTCAACATATTAGATTTATCTCTATGAGATTTATCGAGATTGTGATATTGGATATTAGTACATCTTTTATTTCGGCTCAAAGCCCAACAACAATTTATTTTAATCAAAACAAATTTGAGTAATCGAATAATTATTCATTAATATATAATTCTAGGGTATGTTTTGGGGCGTTACAATACTAACATAAGGTACTAGAACGGGTTAGGCACCCGGGGATCACTTAACTCGTGTGTCCAAAACCAGAAGAGCATTTATACCCAAACTGAGAAAGATTACGGAACAAATTCTGAACTTAAAAAGAAGGGAGCTCGGACAAATTCTGAACCGATTAAATTAAATTACTCCAAAAATTATTTATCATATTTTGAGGAGACTATGTTTTAAATGATTTTAAATAACTATTAATATAATTTTTTAAAAAAATTGTAGAATGTTACTTTACCAAATTGCTAGCGCTCTGATCCGCTAAACCGCGTGAGCCGGGTTATGCGAATCAGGTTGTTACTAAGGCGCTATCTTCTGCGTGGTTCCAAACTCATGTTTCCAAGGTTTCACTTGTGACACGAGTTCAACTAGAGAGAGGATGTTGAACTATAATATTAAGTATTCTTATTTATGGTAGATGTTGTATTTTAGTTAGTTTTTTATCTCTATTTTTAATTGTGTTAGGAGTTTCTTTTATATATTATATCATGTACTTCATAATTCAATAACCAATAAGATTATTCTAATATTTCAACATGATATTGAAGTGTTAAAGGAAAGAATGTTTACTTATATATTATTATTCTGTATATGGTAGTTTTCTGTATATGTTGGTTTTCTCTTGTATTTTTTTTGTAATTGTTTCCATATAGAATTCCTAGCCCCTGAGATCCTATATATACACAGCCATTGTTCATATTGTCAATATCAAAAATACAAGAAAAACATTTTCTCCCAAAATATTATTCTTTATTTATTTCATGGTATCAGAGCCTAAACTTTAAATTCTTATCTTTGGTTGATCGGCACTGAGCTGTCCACTACCACCGTAGACTTACGCCGCCACCTCTACTGTTTTCCCGTCCTTTGCCGCAAGCCACTCTGCTATTGCCATGGCTGATGAACAACCAAAAAAGGTTGTTTCGTCCAAGAAGAATGATGATCACAAGCGAGGGTTTTTTTATTGCCTAATTTTGATGATCTAAGTCACGAACAATGAAATGTTGTTCGTCATGTTTTTTCCTATCACCATCTATTTCTAGTGTAAAACCATTAGGTATTCACGCGTCACCACATTGGATTATAGATACTGGTATATCAAATCATATGACAGGTGATATTTCGTTATTGCATGTTGTGGTGAGTGTGTCACTATTTGAGATTAGGTTGTCAAATGGAAAACGAGTTGTTCTTGTTCAATCTCGAAAAGTTAAATTGACAAAAATTATGGCTCTCAGGAATGTGTTATATGTTCCCACTTTGAGCTGTCATTTAATCTATGTGTCACAGTTAACAAGGAAACTAAACTGTGAGGCACAGTTTGTCAACAATGAATGTTTGTTGCAGGACCTATGTTTGAAGACGATGACTGGTATAGGTGAGCATGAAGGAGGATTCTATTACTTCACGAAACAGGACTAGAAGATTACTTGCAGTGCAAAGAATGAGACTAATTTTGATCTTTGACACAAGCTCTTTGGGCATTCTTTTTCTCATGTTTTGTCTCCTTTCACAAAGTTGGAGTGTATAAAAGTAATCGTAGTTGTTGTGATGTTTGTTTAGAAGCTAAATAGACTCATGGAAGCTTTCCACTAAGTTTCCATCAATTTATTGATAAAGTTGACGTGATACATTCTGACTTGATGGTTCTGCCATGTTCTTGACTATTGTGGATGATTTTTTAGAGTAGTGTGGCTAGATTTATATGCTTGATTCTAAGAGCTTGTTCTTTAGGACTGAAAAAAAAGAGCTGGATGTTGGAAGAAACTGTAAAAAACTAGAAGAAACTAGAAAAAACTAGAAGGAACTGAAAAAACTAGAAAAAACTAGAAAGAACTTGAAGGAGCTGAAAAAATTGGAAAGAATAGGAAGAGACTGGAAAACTTCAAAGAATTAGAAAACCTAAAAAAAACTTTAAAAAAATCTATTTTAAATTCTTGTTGTTAATTATTATTATTATTATTATTATTGTTATTATTATTATTAAAATTATCATCATCATCATCGTCATCACATTATCTTAATGAATGCCTTTAAGATACAAAAAAAAGTGTTGTTATTTTTCAAATACAAAAAATTACTTTTGCAAAAAAATATAATATAAATTTAGCATAAATGTAAAAATATTAAATTTTAAAAGGTTTTTGTGGCTACGTTGCACCTCAATTTATTTATGCAATATTTATTATAAATAATATATTTGTAATTATACTTTATATATTACAAGATTTTGTTTTAAACATCAGATATGTCACATAATGTAATCAAATCTATTTTTCTTTCATGATTGACATTTTATTTTCATTGAAGTCTTATTTTTAGAATAAAGACATAAAACTTTTTTTTTCACATTTCTTATGTTTTACTCTTATTTTAGTCTTTTTCTCTAAACTATTCTGACTATCAATTTTTTTATAAAAATTTGAAAAATGAGAAAATTTTAGGTAATAAAGAGAAAGGTGAGAGGTCTTATATAAAGTTAGATTAATAAAACATTCTATGTTACTATTGTATTAAAAATTGTTTAATATAGTTTAACATATTGATATTTTTCTGTTTTATCCTCTAGGTTAATATACAATAAAATTGTCTTATTCATATTAAAAAGCTGAAAAAATAATGAGTATAAATCATAAAAAAGTGAGATGAAAAAAGTAATTTATAAACTATAGTTATGAACATAACAGCTTTAATAATAATAATAATAATAATAATAATAATAATACTCCCTCCGTCCGGAAAAAATCTTCCCGTTTCTCCTTTTTCCCCGTCTGGAAAAAATCTTTCCATTTCAATTTTTAATCCCAATCCTTCCAAAATACCCTTATCATTCAATTTCATTTACCATTTCAAACTTCCTTCCTAGATCTACCGGTCCCGTCCCCCCACCCTTTTCTCTCTTCTCAATCATTTTTCTTTCTTTCTTCTTCTCTTTCTCTTCTTCTTCTTCTTCTTCTTCTTCTTCTTCTTCTTCTTCTTCTTCTTCTTCTTCTTCTTCTTCTTCTTCTTTCTCTTTGTCTCTTCCTCTTCCCCGTACATCTCATCTCTTCTTTCTCCCCCAGTCCCCCTCTTCTTCTCTTCTTTCTCCCCCTCTTTTTTTCCTTCTTTTTCTCTCCCTTCTTATATCTCTTCCATCTTCTAGATATGAGCATGGCGGCGGCGATTGTGGCGGTGACAGCGACGGCGACGGTGACAGTGAGTCTAGATCTACATTTCTTCGTCTTTTTCTTCTTCATCTTCTTTTAGATCTGCACCACGGTGGAGGTGGAGGTGGGGCTGGCGCCGATGGTGAGGCTGCCGGAAGTGGAGTGGCGGCGAATCGGCGATGGTGAGGAGAAATGAGTGTTGGTGTGACAAACGGCGAAGGAGGTACTAGCGACGATGGTTGGGACGGTGATTGTCGGGCTGGTCAGGAGGGGAGGGAGAGGGAGGGCATTTTAGGGAAACTACACCAATAGTCAACCCTTCAAAAAAATGAAGAAAAGTTCAAATGGGAAGTTTTTTCCCGGACGGAGGGAGTAATAAAATTGAAAATATATCGTTTTTAGAGTAATTTGTTAAGGAGTAGAAAAAGTTTGAAAAAATGAGAATAGTTGGAAGAAAGTAGAATGAACTGTAAGAAACTAGAAGAAACAGGAAAAACTAGAAGAAACTGAAAAAAATAGAAAAAAACTGAAAGTTAAGAGTTCAGCCCTATGAAATAGGGTCTATAAATATAGTTAATGATATTTACTTACGGGGTGTAGACTTTATTCTTTGCCACCCGTCACTGAGCAAAGTCTAGTCACATGCACCGCAATCATCCAGACCGTCCGGCTTAAGCGTATGTGCTCATCATTTTTTATTTATATATTAACTCCATCCGTCTTGAAGATTGATTTAAGGGGAGTGTATTTTGGTATTGAATTTCCAAAAATGTCCTCTTTGATGTGATGGGTAAAAGTATGATTTGATGGATAGATTATTAGTAAAAAGGTATGATGTGATATCTAGAATATGAAAAAGTAAGGGGTAAAAGTAACTTTTTAATAGAAATGAGAAGTGTTTTTTTAAGACGGATAAAAAAAGAGTGGGGAAAGGTTATGAGTACAGAGGAAGTATTATAAAGAGGTTCCGATCGAGTTGGAGAAGAGAATTAATTGATCAGTGCAGATCAGATAGACATGATGAGTAGGGGGGCGGCTGTGGTCTTCTTCCTAATAATTCAAATTACTGTTCCGATTCTGTTCTCCGCCGTGCGCATAGAAGCTGCTTCTGGTTCGCCGGTGAAGTTTCTTCCGGGCTTCGATGGCCCTCTTCCTTTTCAACTCCAAACTGGGTTTGTCCTCATCATTTCTTTATTCTTCTTTTTCACCCCTAATTCACACTTTCTTTTCGTTTTTTTTCCCTGAAATAAAGCCCATATCGATGTCCTAATTAAGGGATCAACTTTGGTCTGTTTCTTTTTAATTCACTCTTCCTACAACTGGTAAGGCAAGTGACAGGAAAAAACATTTCTGAAAAATTATTTTTCTTTCAAAGATAGGAAAATACAAGGAATTCATTTTCTTTACGTTTAGGTCAGTCCTCCGCCTAGGGTACGGATGGGGACGATCCGGATTTAGGTTGTTTCAAGTCTTGTCCTGTTATATAAATGGTTCGGAACGGTTCGGATTACAATCTTATTCCGGTTTGTCCCATAAAATTCGGGATAGGAACAAACTGGAACGGATTCGGGTTGTCCCACTTTGTCATAATCCCGAACATAAGAAGGTGGGTACTCAATCCAAAAGTCACAAAATGTCATAAATAAAAGTCATTAACTCCCAAAGACATCCAAAAACTAGTTGTGTACACCAAGCAGTTAGCCATTGTCCACTGGATTTTTACAGAATTGTGTATTAAAACTTTAAAAGTGAATTAGCTTAATAATGGGACGGAATTGGGCTCCGGAGTCTGGACTTTGGAGTTAAGACCAAATAAATTTAATAAATTTTGAGTTGAAACTTGAAGTTAACTTAATTAATTAAAGAATGAGTGTATAGAATTAGAATTATATATTAATAGAGTAGATAAAACGGAACAAACGGGATGGATCAGTATAAATTTAAGTTGTCCCGCTCATGTCCCATTTGATAATAGAACGGAACGAGTTCGGGATAAAAAAAATGGTGTCCCAATTATTCGAACAATTACAAAACGGATTCGTGATTTTTCAGAACGGTCCAACGGGAACGGATTTCATGCCTACCCCTACCTCAGCCTTATTTCAATATAGTCCTCGAGTCTATTCATCTCACGGTCTCACCAATTAAATATAATCTAAATATAGAAATAATATAAAAAATTAATAGCTTTCTCATAATTTGTGGTTAAAAAGTATCACTATTTGACCAAAAAAGATTATTACTAGTATAATATAAATCCAATATAATTACAATCATATTAGGATATACTTTTAATCTATTCAACCATTCCCAAAAAAAGACTTCTTATTTTCATTTTGTGATGTCCTAATAAAAATTAAACTCCTCTATCATTTAAAAAAATTAGAGTTATACATAGTTTATTTTTCTATATCCTCTACTTGGCTCTCAACTATACCTTTTCAGTTTTTTTTTTAATTTTGGATCAAGTCAAACCAAAAACTCTTTTTGGGACAAAAATATTATGCATTTTTATAATAGTTGTTTATTAAAGCAATATTTTTATGATAGAAAAAAGAAATATCAGAGTATAATAATTTTTAATAATTAATACGGAGTATATGTCAAGGAAATGCAAAAATATGTTCCGAAATAAAAATAATTACTTATCACTGCAAGACTTGTCACATGCTGATCGGACTATTATTTATTGGTTGCAATATTTGACATCAACATATGTCACTTTATTGTTTGTCTTGTAAAGGTGACCTAAAATAATCGCTACCATGAATGCACCCAAGCTTCGTACAAATGATTATTATCTATGCCGCATAAATGATTACTCCCTTCGTCCAGAAATGTTCTTCATATTTGACTTTTCTTGGTCAAAGTTTATAAACTTTGACTCTGATTTGTGGAAAAAAACACATTGTATTATAATGTAAATTTAATATCAATATATTTATAATGAAACGTAATTTTTTCAAATATCAATTTTTTATAAAATATATCTACGTATAAATATAGATATTAATGGTCAAAGTGCAATATTGGAGACTGTAAAAAGTCATATATGAAAAATATTTTCGGACAGATGGAGTATTATTTATATCATGTGTGCAAATTTTAAGTGCATTCAATCACACTTTTGTCCTTTTCGAGATGTCCTTTTCCAATATAGCAATGTTAGGATTACACCAAAAGTGTACCCCAAATGTACACCACTCTCTCCTCCACCTCACATTTTTATTTGATTTTTATTTACTTATTTTTTTTTAATTTTCTTACCTTTTTTTTGTGGACAAGGAGGGAGTGTGAGACTAGAGAAGAGCATAAAGACTGGGACCGAAAAGATTGACCGAGACCGACTAGGATTTGGACTTGAAAGATTGGGTCCGAAGTAGTCCTTGAGACTAGTCTAGTCCAAGACCAGTAATCTCAAATGTTCCTTAAAATTTATAGAGGACTAGGACTAGTCTAAGACTAGTAAAAGGCATGTTAAAGACCTGAACCGGTCCGAGACTAGTAAAAGATTGGTCTAAAGACTAGGACTAGTCCAAAGAACTAGTCCTCTAGAGTCTAATTATATTACTTGTAAATTACGGAGTATATAGGGAGTAGTATATATGGAGTAGTACGTATAAAAAAGTTAAAAAAAAATGATATAGAGTAATACAAATTAGAAATGATTAATACTTCTCGGCTTCCCCTATCCCATAAGTTTTTTCTTAGAGTTTCAAGATAAACTCAAGCGTCACAACACTCTGTCCTAGAGCAGTAGAGCTAGTCCTCAGAGATGTCCTTAGAGAATCAGCGATTGAGCGAGCGAAGTGCAACATGCAATCTCGACCGATGCAAAAAAAGTTGATGGACTATTTGGTAACCCTGACACAACATCGCAAAACTACAATCTTGACCCAATATGTTGGGACTAGAGACCGGACCGGATTGGACTACCGACTGGACTAGATTGGACTAGTGGTCTTATTTGGTCTTTGATTTTGATAAGAAGACCGGACTAGTTAGGACCGGGTTTTTAAAAAGACTAGTCTGATCTAGTCTTTTACTGTAGCAGTCTTTTCCAAAGACCGGTCTAGTCTGATCGCATTGGTCCTTTTGCTCATCTCTATGTGGGACATATGGGATATACATTTTGTGTACCCTAACATTTTTCTTTCCAATATTATATTAAAGAGTTGGGTCAAGTGGTTCAATCGCTGCGAAACATAATAAATGGGCAAGTCTTTTGTCTGATAGCGAGTGAAAAAAAATCGTGACAAATGCATGCTTAAGCCCGCCGACACATTATTAAAGATTAAAAAAAATAACTGTCTAATGTAATATTGTACGGAGTACTTAATACTCCGAAATACTCCCTCCGTCCTAATATTAATTTCTCATTTTGACTTTTGCAGTCAAAGTTTTTAAACTTTGACTGCATATTACGGAAAAAATACATTGAATTTTCATATAAATTTAGTATCAATAGATTCATTTTGAAACATAGTTTTAAAATATATTATTTTGATAATATATATTTTTATAAAATTGGAGATATTAATGGTCAAAATGCCGCATTGGAGACCGTGAAAAGTCAAATGAGAAGTTAATTTTAGGACGGAGGGAGTAATTGTCTTAGGGGTGTATTCAATTATAATTTCATTAGATTTTTTTAGATTTCAAAAAGTTAGTGAATTTGAAAAGATTTGTAGAGTCCATGAAGAGTTTGGTTGATTTTTTATAGAGTCCACGTAGAGTTCAAAAAATTTGTAAAATTTGTGTAGAGTTTTAAAAATATGTAGTTTCGGCCTTCTTTCAAATTTCGATCTCTCCATCCTCTGTCTTTTGTCTGATCGGATTCTCAAACAGAAGAGAGGCGTTCGGCTAGAGCATGCAGTATATTGGATGTTATGGATAGTAGGGTAGGATATTTAATGGTATTAAGCACCAATGATACGGACTCCGTATCGGATAGGGAAGACTTAGAGCATCTTCAAGCTCTTGAGAATATGGGACGAGGAAGAAGAAGAATTGAGACGAAGAGAATCGGCGAACCGAGAGAGGAGAAGGGATTAGGATTTGATTTGTTTATTGCTTGATTATTCTAAAGGAGTTACATCTCTATATATAGGAGACAAAGTAACCCTAGCTAACCCTAAACCTAACTTGACGGTTCAATAAAAGCGACGAGAGAAAGAACCGTAAAGAAACCTCGAAGGAGCTTATAATTTCGCTCACCTAATAAAACCTAAATTACAATATAATAATAATAATAATAATAATAATAATAATAATAATACCATTAAATATCCTACCCTACTATCCATAACATTGGATCGGCAAATTCGGGCAGAATGTTTGGATTTTATCTCCACATTTTTGCTTTATTTGGTCTTCCAATTTACATCAAGGGCTGAATATGTATACTCTGTATGCATTTACTAAGCCTACACAGAGGACGGATGAAATTGATAGTGAAAGCGAGCTCGGAATCCACTTCTATGCCTACGGAAACCACTAACGGATGGAAGTCCATTGAAATCTAGGGTTGCGAGAAGAGATTTTTCAGGAGTGAAATGTTAACCATTTTTGGATAGGAATTCCAACAAAATCTAAAGAGTATTAAAATTCTTAGACTTTTAAACACTTAAAAAATTTTAAAGACTCTTGAAAATCCAAGTTGAATGCTTCAATATTTTTAAAAACTTTGGAAAATCCCTATTGAATGCCTTAAGATTTTTAAAGACTTTTGAAAATCCAAATTGAAAACAATCAGATTTTAAAAATCTAAAAAAATGCTACCAAATTCAATACACCCCCCTTAGTTTGATAATCCCTCCGTCCCTCTTAAAATATTCTCATTTCGACTTTTTATAATTTTTAAATAAGTTAAAAAAGGTGAAAGTTTACCAAAACAATCTTGATGGCAATGGCTGGAGTATACGATGTATTAAATAAAGTGGGTGAGATGTAATAAATAAAATGGGGAAAGAGCAAAGTAGGGTTAAAACAATAAAAATATACTAAAGTAGGACTTAGATATTTTTATTCTCGAAATAGAACTTAAAATGTATTTATATTACCAAACATGGTCATGTACATTACCAAAATGTATTATAATGTGCACATAAAAGTCTTATTTTGATACTTTTTTTTAAGTTTTAGTCCTATTTAAGGTGATTTCTATAAATAAAATAAGTGGATATAGTTGTAGAATATTAAATATTAAACAAATTAATGAAAAAATCCATGAAGGATTAATAAAAAAGAACTAATAAGAATATCTCTGAGAAACAGAGGGAGTATTTCACATGTTAGCAAGTATTCCACTTTGAAAGTTGAAAAACATAAAAATGGATATCATTTGACTTCACCTAATTTAAAAAGCATTGAAAAATAAGAAAACGGATGGTTGAAAAATAAAAAAACGGATGATTGATTACTATATTGCCCTCATTTATCATTTTTTTACTTGTATGAATACGATAAGTACGTGTTCAATTGGATCGATCCGATCTGAAAATTCGGATATCTAAAAATTTTGGATCATGTAAAACGCATTTCAAATCCTATTCAAAAATATTCAGATATCTGAATTTTCGGATCGGATCACTAAATTATCCGAAAAGTTAACTTTTTAGCCAAAGTTTACAAAAAAGGGTAAAATAGCAAAATCAACCCACCATATCAAATTCAATATAGATTTACTAAAACAAAATTCCACCACTAGATAATGGCCATAAAATTACATTAAACATATAACAAAAAAATCGGATATTCGATTATCCGAAAAATTTCAGAATTTGAATCCATATCCGATCCGATTTTTTTTTAGTATTCGGTCTGAAATATCCAAAAGTTAAAATGTCAGATCGAATATCCATTTTTCGGATCAAATCTGCACGGATCGGAGACAAATATTTTAGATGGGATTTTTTTGAAAACACCTAATGATAAGTGTGTGGATGCAGGTACATTGGGGTAGGAGATGGGGAGGAAGTGCAACTTTTTTATTACTTTATAAAGTCGGAATCAAATCCGAAAGACGACCCTCTCATTCTTTGGATCACAGGAGGCCCTGGTTGTTCTCCACTACGCGCTATCAATCAAGAAATTGGTAACCCCTCACGAAATTCCTACCTATATACTCCCTCTTTTCTCAAAAAAGGTTTCTAGTTTGATTTAGTGTAAAAATAAAAAAAGTGTTGAATTAAAGTTGACTACTAATTTCGTTCTTGATGTGATAGATAAAAGTAAGATGTGATTGATAGATTATTAGAAAAAATATATGTTATGATAGGTAAAATCTGAAAAAATAAGGATAAAAGTGAGATTTTAATAAAAGTGAAAGAAGAGGTGTTTTGAGAATGAAAAATGCTAGGGGTACACCAAATATATACCTCATTTATTCCCCCACCCCCTCCATTACCACAAAAATTGGCAAGAGATTTAAAAAAAATTGAATAAATAAAAATGGGATAAAAATGAGTGATAGAGAAAGAAGTGAGGGACAAATGTGGTACGCATTTGATGTACCCATAGCATTGCTCTTTGAGAATTGATGGAGTAGCTGTCTATAATCTACTACAGGGTACGGAGTATATCCCTAGCTACGAAGTACGGACTATATATCTTCACTATTAAAAAAAAGATATGAAAATTGAGATCTTAATGATGTCATTTTAATGTAAATTACTCCCTCCGTCCCAGAGTATTTGTCCACTTTCATTTTTACACGTCATCCAATACACTTCTTTGATCCATTTTATCTTGTAATTTGTATATTAAAAAAATTATAGAAATTATATATCAATAATCTATATGTTAAGACAAATCAAACAAGATCATACATGACTATATTTAGGCTTACACATTAAGAGAATTTGATGAGTCAAAGTGCTTAGATGAACAGTTCCAAAAGTCAAAAGTGGACGAATATAGCGGGACGGAGGTAGTATGTAACCATTCATATTACATTAGGAATAATTGGAAACAAATAGAGCAATGCTATGTTCAAAACAGAATGGTCACAAATTTAACAAATTTACTATTTATAGTTTAAATTCTCATTTTAAAATTATTTTCGACTATTTTTTATTGAGGTTTACAAGTAGTAAATTTGTGAAATTTGTGATCATTGCGTTTGTGAACCAAATATTTCCCAAACAAATATTACTATTATTATTACTTAGTATTTAGCCTCTATTATTAATTACTACATCTGTGATCATTTGTTTATGTGTACCTTTTCTACTAGCAGTCTTTTTTGACCTTCTGTCATCGTACACAATGATCATATATCCTTCTTGTCAAAACATATATATATATATATATATATATATATATATATATATATATATCGCTAATGATGTGTTGTTTGTCCATTGGAGTCGTTGTCCACTGCAACTATAGTCTAAAGATGTCGTCTTTGGTTAGAATCCTAGCCCACAACTATAGTCATTATAAATTGATGGGCTCGTTTGAGAATAACGTTAGAGATTAGCGTTAATGTTTTAGATAAAATTTTAAAAGTGCAGATTATTTTGAAAACACTAATGTATTACATTGCTCGTAGATAGTCTTTTCAAAATGCTAACGTTAATTTCTAACGCTATTTCCAAACAGGTCCGATGTGAGGTTGCACTTTTAATCCTCAATTTAACATTAACATGACGAAAAATCAAAAAAGAATTATGTGTAAAAAGATATCCATAAAAAATCACATACGTAAAATATTTGGTAATGCATGACTAAATATGGCAAACCTCATATTATAAAGGATCAATTATGAAATTTACTCTTAGTTCAGTATAGACTATTCTGTTTTATACATTATTTTCACCGATAATTCTCTTTTTCATACAACTAGCATTACTCCCGTGCGTTGCACGGGTCATACTTATATTACTAAATTAAGATCATTTTTGAAGGATACAATTTCTTATCTAATACTCCCTCCGTCCCTGAAACATCTTCCCCTTTCATTTTTTCTTTGTACCACAAACTCCTTCCTTTTTCTATTAAAAAACTACTTTTACCTCTTACTTTTTCATACCCTATCTATCACATCATACTTTTTTACTAATAATCTATCTATCACATCTTACTTTTATCAATTACATCTATCAAGGGTGTTTTTTGGAAATTCAACACCAAAATAACCTTCCGTTAATTTTCCAAAAAGTCAAGGGAACTTCTTTCGGGACGGAGGGAGTAGAATATAAAGATTTTATTATTTTAAGGTACAAAAGTTAATTATTTTACAAATAACGAAAGACTTCTTTATAAACTACATTACTCGTATAATTTTTATATATCAAACTTTTAAAACATTTATTTATTTAAAGACTTCTTCATGATTTTCTACTCCGAAAGCATGAATCTTATTTAAGAACTCAAGAGAGTGTAAGTCATTCAAAAAATTTGAAAGAGGCTAATTACGAAAAGTGATTGAGAATGACTGTATTTAAAGTATGAAAAAATTAAAGTATTTTTCTATTTCCATGCATCTAATTTTTTTTCGAGTAAGTTATTAATTAGTGGTTGATTGTTCAACATGTAAAGGTATATATTATTCAATACGTTTCCATGTATTGAAGGCACACCTCTTAAAACGATGTCTCCATAAAACGTTTGGGCCTGGATCTCTAAATGGAAACTTTATTAAATTGAAAGCTTATTTCGTTAGAATTATTACACGATAATAATAACTAAGTACAATAATATTGTTACACGGTATATTATTATTATTATTGCACTGACAATAAATTAATAATGATTAAATACATTAATATTATTGCACGGTATATTAGTATTATTATTTTTTCTACATGGTAATACATGATTTATTCTTGCTACAAAGTAATTTATGATTTAGTTATTATTTCTATATTCAACACTTAACATATGTGCCACCATTTCTATGTATTACTTTGACATTTTTTATATTTAATTTCTTTTATTATTTTTTATTTTGATTTTTTTAATTGTGCCTTCCTCAAATGCATAAAATTATATATTTAAATTTCTTCATAAAATATTTGGCACCGAATCTCTAAATGGAAACATAATTAAATTGAAAGCTTATTTTCTTAACATAATCACACCGTAATAAATTAATAATGATTAAATATGGTAATATTAAGTTTGGCCATGTTCTCTAAATGGAAACATTTTTAAATTGAAAGCTTCTTAGATTAGAATTATTAGACGATAATAATGACTAAGTACGGTAATTTTATTACACAATATATTATTATCATTCTTCTTACATGGTAATAAATTAATAATGATTAAATACGACAATGTTATTACACGATATATTAATATTATTATTCTTGTTACACGGTAATACATGATCTATTCTTATTACATGGTGATTTATGATTTGATTATCATTTATTTATTCAACACTTACTATATGCACCACCATTTCTATGTATTACTTTGACATTTCTTTTAGATTTGATTTCTTTCCGTAAAGGAAACAAATGGGTTGTATGATTAAAATGGTTTGTTTCTAAATTGGAAAAGAAAACAAATGGTTTGTATGATAAAAATGGTTTGTTTCTTAATTGGAAATTATATAAATTACAAAACTGTAAATTTAATGCATTGATTAAAAAATTTACACCATAATGTGATTATTACCTTTTATGGACAAATATTATTTTTAGTTGAATGGTAATCATTTTTTTTATTATATCAATTCCAATTTTATAAAAAAGTTTGGTATTAGAAAAGAAGTTTATATAAATAATATTTTTTATATTTTGTTTCCTTTTTAGAAATATATTAAGCATGCAAAATTTTCTTTAATTTATCACTCTAAATAAGAATAGAGTAATTAAGTAATTATGCATGCGAAATTATTCTAAAAAGGAAACAACGTAGATCTTGTTTGCGAAATTAGTCCCTTCCTTTTTTATCAGAATTAAGTAATTATGCATGCAAAATTTCCTTTAATTTATCATTCTATTATTCTTAAAAGTATTTCCTTTTAAGAATAGAGTGATTAAGTAAATAATTACCTATTTAATTAGGCATAAATAATTACTTTTTGAAAAAATATTCAGGCATAAATTATTCCAAGTAATTAATTATAATAATAATAGTAATAATTAGGCGTAAATATTTACCTATTTAAAAAGGAAACAAAATATAAAAAATCTCTTGCACCGTCTCTTCCTTTTTTATCACAATCAAGTAATTAGGCGAAATTAGTTAGGAAACAAATTACTTCCTTCCTTTTTGATCAGAATAGAGTGATTATGCATGCAAAATTTCCTTTAACTTATCATTCTAAATAGGTAATATTACACAACCAATCATAGCCGTAGATCTTGTTTGTTCCTTGATATCGACGGTGCAGGAGATGAGAGCATTGGGCGGGAAAATAATTCCCCTGCTTTTAAGAATAGAGTGATTAAGTCATATTTCATACATGTCTGTTTTTAATAATAATAATAAGTTACTCGTATTTTTATTAGTCTAATTTTTAAATAAAATTGTCAAGTTTATGTCAAAATTTGACCTTTTGTTGAAATCAATCAGGATTAATTTTTGACGTATAGTATTTAAAAAAGTTCTCACTCTTTTTTTATGAAAAGTCAAAATTTTCGTGTGTGCAGGACCATTGCTTCTTGAACCAGTGGAGTATGATGATGGGAGTTTGCCCAGGTTACTGCCATACCCTTATTCATGGACCAAGGTGAACATTTAATCTTTTCTCCAATTGGATCTTTAATTTGTGCTTATTCATGTTTCGCCGAGGTTACCGGAATTCAACAAACGTAATTGGTACCATTTGAAAAAAATAAGTAAAATTTGCACTAAATAGGACTAAAACATAATGATTTTCCCAATGTAAGACTTAAACTTTTTTATTTCCTAAATAGGACTTAATAATGACCTAGTGAGAGGAATAATGTCCAGTAATGATGGACATTTACTTGAATAATGACTACTTGTTAATGACCAAAAGTCCTACATTAGGAAATAAAAATATATGGTCCTATATTGGGAAAGTCATTATGTTTTAGTCCTATTTAGGTAAATTTGTCAAAAAATAATAAATTACAGAAATGTAAATCAAAACACACAAGAGTTTTGAACTCATCATGTAAACTTTTTTTTGCTTATAAATCAAGCTTCAATGTGCTTATACGTTGCTTAGAGGTAGAAAATATAAGTATAGATAAGTTTAACCTCCTTATTTCTTAAGTCATTAGCTTTTTCGTTTATATGTGACCAAACTGTTTTACAAAATTATCCCCAATATTTGATGAATATTTCTAAATGACTCAGATGTACGCAGTCTAAACCCTGTGTTTTAAACATAGAGAGTTATTTTTAAATGACCCATGATGAGCTTTTTAACGTTGCATTGACCAACTGTTACTTCCCAACTACAAGAAACGCATAAATTTTAGAGAGTCAATTTGCTATATTCCATCATACTCCAAAACTAAAAACAATAGTAATCTTTAGCTCCACAGGGGAATGGAAAATTTTAAATATTCATTAAAATTATTTTACAAAACTACTCTGTAGTGACATACTCGAAAAAGTATGAATGGAAACAATCGATAGTCATTGAGAAAAAAAGAGATTTAACGTGACTTACTAATAAAGTGTTATTAACGTCCACGAATAGAAGAGAAAAACTTTATTGAGTCTTAGTCTAATTCCTCATATATTCAGAAAATAGTTTCAAAGCATTTTCAAACAAATTTCTATCTTGACTTGAGTCTTCTCAAAAGACAATATATGCGCCAGAATTAGATGTGCAAAAATACCAGATTTCCTCCTAGAACGGACTAGATATGCCTTAGGCACAAGAAGTCCAACACAAGACACAAATGTCACCAAAATAGACGCATAAATAATAGTTCCACATGAGTTCAAGTGTCACGACAAACCTTGTCATCAAAACTTTCATCATCTTTATGAATCTCAAATGATGCAACAACAACATAGCCCAGCACAGTTTTTTCTAGAGGTAAGCAAGAACCAAATCAATCTCGAAATTTCCTAAGAAAATCGAGATTACCAAATATAAAAGTATTTAATCAAAAAAATGCCAAAAAAATTTGTATTGTACCGAACCAAATGGCCAATCCGGTATTTGGGATCGATACGAGATAATGTTCATACCGAAAATCCCGAATCAAACATATATACAAATATGTTATAAAAATAATAATTTTTTTATATCTCCTCATAAAAAAATATATTTATTTGAAAAATTGGTTCCAATGTAGATGACTTACAAATAATCTTTTATTTAAATAATAATTTATTTAAATTTAATTTTTTGTAGATGAATACTCCGGGTATAACAAAATTAACAAACATTCGAAATACTATTTTATTATCATTCACTCTCTTTTATATGTGAAACGTGAAGTATAAATTAAATAAAATTTTATAAGCATTTCTTGCATTTAATTAATCATTTTTTAATTGTTTATCTTTCTTTATATGAATGTATTTTTTTAAATAAAAAGGTTTGCACATTTCAAAGTGTAAGTTAGGTATGTATATATATTCATCCCAATATTCATCGAAACTAAAACCGGATCATCCTAAACTATACAGAATCGATATTTCGAGATCAGGGATCAGTACGCTATTAAATATCATACCGGATCGAAATACGGAGTATTTATTATCGTATCAGTACAAATCAAATATGGTACGACACAGTACCACTGTCACCACTAATTTCTTCATCAATGACTTCGACAATAACTTCATCTTCCAGCTAGAGCATTGATTGTTGAATGAGCATTCCCATCTTTTGAATAATCAACAACTCACTGTCATCTGAATTTGCTGCCTCCCATACAGTGGCACCTACAAACCTTGCCCATTTTAATGTTCAAAGGAGACATATTTCTCACCTAAAATTTTCAGCAAGACTCGTCCAAACACGGAGTACTCAACAAATTCTCAAAATTCCACCTAAAAATCTTTTGCCAAATCAATCCAAATTAAAAATGGGCGGACCCAATTTCAGACCTGCAAAGCCCTTTTCTCTTCAATCCATTGGCTGCTTAGATTTGAAGACGGCGGTGGCGGCTCTGGAATTGGATGGCTCATGGCAGTGGCGGCACCTTACTGCGCGGCTGCTTGACGGCAAAGGCTGCCTTTCTTGCTATGATTTTTCCGATCTCTGCGCACCAGATTCCAAAGGAAGAAAAACAGCGGTGGTCGAAGAAACCGGCATTGCCGGAGGCTTCTCGACTGCAGCGACTAGCGGTGCTCTGCCACTCTCCTCTGCCACGCGACCTTCCCTTCTGCTCACTGAACTCTGCTGCATGAATGTCAATTCCACGGCCACACACGTAAATTTGGATCTGGATCTGCGCAACTGGTTCTTCACCCCAGAACCCTAGGTAACATTTTTTTTTTTGCAATCTGTGTTCGGGTTGAACAACCCCGCTCTGATACTAGTTTGTTTTGACAGATTTGAGAAAGCATGAACCTAAACAATCAACAATCACAGGGGAGACAGATATTTTCTAACAATTTTTTAAATAGTCATTTATAAGTTAAAATTACTTATCAACAATAAATCAATAAAAATCAACATAGACGAATAGGGTAAGACCTAAGCTATTTAGTGTATAAGTTCAATATACAATATTGTGTTTATATAGTCTAGTATGACAACAACTTGTATGTTGTTTGAGTTGGGTCGTTAATAATTAGTCTCTATACTTTCGAGTGGGGGTAAAGATTGCATGCACAACTTTCCCATAATCTACTTTTGTGGGATTCTACATTTCTAGTATAAGTTGTTATTGTTGTTGTTAAATGATGCACATTGTAATTAATGAGATTAATCACATACTCCTTAATTACAAACAAATTTGATCATGATGATGATCATGGCATGCATATGCAGGTTGCTAGCTTTATTTTTCTGGATTTGCCAGTTGGGACTGGATTTTCGTATGCTACAACTTCAACTGCTCTCCAATCCGACAATTTGTTGACCGGCACCAATGCATATGAATTTCTTCAAAAGGTCTACTATACTCCCTTCAAAAATCAAACGATAAGAATACATTAATTGAGACATACAATTAATATTCATACTTCAAGGTATTTAGCACTATTATATAGGGAGTATGGAGTATGAAATTAATGTGTTTTTCTATGGGAATATCTTATTGTGATTTTTAATTTATTTAGTGATCTAATTTGCAGTGGTTAGTAGAAAATCCACAGTTTCTAGCAAATCCTTTCTATGTTGGTGGCGATTCCTATTCTGGCATCACAGTTCCAATCATTACTGAAATGATATCCAATGGTAAAGTACTTAAACTTAATTAGTATATATGGATGAAATGCTTGATCCTTTATTAAAAGTTAAAATAGCATTTTATTATACACCTATTATGTACTCCTTTCCAATCCTGTCCCTAAAATCTACTCCTTGAATTAATCGTCGTTTGACTTTACAGAGTTTAGAAAGAGTTTGAAAATTAAAAGTGGTTCAAATTTGATTAGAGATAAGAAAAAGTTTGTAGAAGTGAAACAATTACATTATAACCAACTAAAAAACAAAGTGACACGATTAATTCGGGATAGAGAGAGTATGTTAAACTATATATTCTTTTTTTACATACGGAGTATTTATATTAATGATTTGATACTCAGAATATAGATATGTTTACCTCTCCTTTTATAAAACTATTCGTGTAATATTATGTGTGTGTGTATTATAATTCTATACTAATTTTAAAATGCGTGCAGGAAACGAGAGAGGAATTAAGCCATTTGTTCAACTTCAGGTCTAAATTTATTAATCATTTGTAGTTTCCTCGCATTCAAATTGGGCATTTATAACATCTAAAATATGACAAATTCTATATAGACCTAAGAGCATGTGCAGTGGTGAGGCAAAAGTGGTATAATTTCAATGAATCAAAAAAAGTTTAGTAAAAAAGAAACAAATTTATATTTATTTAGAAAACAATGGAAAACTTGAGAAAAATAAAAAAGAAGTATTTAAGTGATTGGTTTAACACATAAGAGTGGAATTTTAAACTTCAATCAAACTTCCATGACAAATAAAAATAAAAAAGGAGTGGTTTTTTCTAATTTTCTCTTGATTTTAACCGTCTATAATTGATTAAACAAAATGTGAGTAACCTTTTTTACAGTTACAAAAATTCAGTTAGATTCTAAAAACAAAATAGAAGAGAGTGACATTATGTTTAACAAAAAAATACTCTTTCCGTCGTGAAATTATTTTCCATTTGTATAAAATTGAACAAGCCTCGTGAACTGAAATGAGAAATTAATTTTAGGACGCATGGAATAATACTCGATGTATTTTTTATTTTTATGCTATGAGTTATTTCTCAGAAAAATAAATTGGTAGTCAAAGTTTAATACTCTGTGATACAATTTGATAATAATTGATTTTTTTAAAATAACGAAGGTTTCATCCCTATTTATATGGATTACAAGAGAGAATCTTGATCATAGTAGAATAACATTTCTAATAATAATAGAACAAGGAAAATAATTAAATAATAACAATATTGTTTCTCAGTATCCTCGCAAGCTGTTCAACGGTGATGAGGGGCAATTTGGAGCATAAGTGCTGGAATAGCGCTAGTGAAAGCGGCTTCGTGTGAATGTCTACTAATCTGACAATACCATACCATAATCAAAAGGTACAACGGCCCGAGCGACCAGACTTAACATAAATGAAGCCACTCGAGCCATTCTAAAAAGGGAGAAATTAGCACTACTTGGTGAAATAGGTTCTTTTAGAATCAATTTCAAACCATCTGCTATAGGTTGTAACAATCCAAATGATCCCACTACATCAGGACCCTTTCGATGTTGCACAAAAGCCATTAACTGCTCACAGGAAAAGAACATGATGAGTAGTCATGGTGCGTGACATGACATGGCTTCATCTCGCACAAAATGAGATTCTGAACCAATATGCTTCAGATGGTCATGCCGGTCTGGAGTCTTGGTCACACAAATAGTAGATTCATTGTTGAAGTACAGACAAAGTTTTGATGGAAGGATGCTTAGAGCATCAGTAATGTATCGTATCCACATAACTTCTACCACACCTTCAGCCATGACACGATATTAGCCTTAGTAGAAGATTTGAAGACACGAGTCTGTTTTTTCGTACACCAAGATATGAGATTGGAGCCAAGTATGACCATTTAACCAGTAGTAGTTTTTTTTATCATCTTTGTCAGTATAAGTAGAGACGAAACCTCCTCTTTCGAAAAAGAAGACCAAGGCGTAGAGTATCTTTTAAGTATCAGAGAATGCGCTACAAGGCATGATAATTTTGTTTAGTCATGTTGTGCATAGTCTGAGACACCCGATTAACATTATACTGTAGATCTGGACGAGTAACAACCAGATAATGTAGACCACCAACAATGCTGCGGTAAAAAGTAGGATCCCTAAATGGTGAGACGCTACGAGACCATGGGTCGGGCCGCCATAGAATAACAACAAGATTGCATTTGGACATTCCTGCCCGTCGGAGAAGATCAACCGCGTACTTAGTTTGATGGAGGAGAATAGAATCATTGGTGCACTTCATCACCGTTGTGTCCTCCGCCACACTGACTGCCATGACGAGTGCTGCCGCCGAATGGTTGGTTTGCCGGTGTTGGGCCGGAGGGGATGGGGGCTCTTTTAGAGCGGAACAGGCCTCCAAAAACGTTGGGAATGGCACTTAATACTGGAGAATTCTCCTGTGAGCAGATATTGTGAGGGAGGCCACAAAGAAGTTGAACAAGGGCGTGCTCAGTGATTGGGGCATCCACATCGTCCTAGCGATCTGCTAAATTTTTGAGGGTTTCGCACTAATCTGTCATTTTTTTGGTGCCTTTGACTGTATCTTGGAAGCGTTGCTCGAGTTGCATGGCACGAGCAAGCTTGTTGTCATGGAAAAATTGATGGATGCCGTTCCGTAAATGTGCAGCAATGTAATATGAAGTGATTACGTGATCAGAAACTTTGTCATAGATTGTGTAAATAATCCACCCTTGCAATAGAGCGTTGAATTGAATACATTTGACATCATCTTTATCGAATAGGGTCGTTTCTCCTGTGATAAAGCCGTGTAGATTGAATGGTTAGACAAGTGGAAGAAAGAGATTGCTTAATTTTTTATAGTTTGGTTCAGAAATACTAAGTTGAACAAGGACATGATGTTGGAGATTGTGGTGAAAGCAAGATGGAGAGAATTTGTAGTAGAGGTAGAGGGTTTAGAAATAGAGGAGAGGAGAGTTTCGGCCATGGCTGCTGTGAAGCTGACGAACGGCGCCGGGGGAGGAGGCCGACAGCTAGGAGAGAAGAAAGGTTAGGGTTTTGCCTATAATGGTTCCGATTCTATGAAGAATGGAATAATTCAATAACATTTCCAAGAGAGTGTAGAAGGGGTATATATACAATGATTCCTAATTATTCCGAATTATGGTAAGTATATAGAATTGAAAAAGGTAGTAACCATAATATAGAAACCTATAAAAAAAGAAACGATTATAGTTAAATATATTTGCTATATTTAACAAGAACAATAACAATCACAAATGATTAATGCAAGTCACATGTCAATCATACTTGGGAATTGGCATTGATACCACATTGTTTCCTATAAATTTTTGTATGTTCTCTATTTTAGGAGTCCAAATTCTGATTACTTGCTAGCTCTAATATCCTTAATCCTTGTCAGTTTTTTTAGCCTTACGACTCTCTGTAATAACAATTGAACATGGTGTCTCTGACCGGTCCCGGATAGTTAGTCTCATACGAAGTATAATGTAACTAATTTACACCATCGGCCATAAAAGCATTTTGTTTCTCATATATACTCTCACACAGACATACGGACATACTAATAATGAAGTATATATGATTATTGCAGGGGTACATACTTGGTAATCCCCTAACTTCTCCAGCTGACTCCAACAACAGAATACCCTTTGCTCATAGAATGGCACTCATCTCTGACGACTTATACCAAGTGCGTACGTGCAGTGGGTTTTGATTTTCTTTTCAATTATTGGATCGGTAATATAATATTAACAGGTCTGATCTTATTATTACTAAGTAGAAAAGTATTTAATGATTTGTTGGTACTTAATTTAGAATATATGCACCATATATATGTATATCAAATTTAGTAATATAATTGCCCTTATTCTACGTATACCTCAAACAGGAGTTAAAAAGAGATTGCAAAGGAGAGTATGTGGACACTGATCTTACCAATTTACTATGTCAGCAACATCTGCAAACCTATACTCAGGTCTGAGGTTGCATATATGCATATATGAAAATATTTAAATTAAAATGATTCAACTACTCAGTAATTAATTTCAGCACCACATATGCTTTTTTAATTAATCAATAGGTTGCGTTTATGCATGATTTTACAGACTATGTAACTAATAACGTGCGCATTTGCATTGCAGTCGATTGAAGGAATATATCTTTCGAATATTTTGGAGCCTATTTGTGTGACTAGTGACGATGATGATTCTTTTTCTTCGATTGAAGCATCAGCATCATCATCAAGACCGTTTCTTCCAACTTTACCCTCAGGCCAGCATACAAGGTATTTGTTTGACAAGTACTACAAGCAAAAACGACGACTCAAGAATCCCGACTTGCTTCCTAGATTGAAATGTCGGGTACGCATGTGTACATAATAAGCATTTATTCACACACATACTTGGGAATTGTGCAAGTAAATGTACAATCGATCTATTTGCATAGCCATTTAGTCACATAGTATTAAAGATCATGAGGTGGGTGATGCTCTGGCATTACATGCATGTTACGTACTTACGTTGTAGGATGATTGGTTCAAACTGTCTGAATACTGGGCCAACAATGATCGTTCTCAAGAGGCCCTTCATGTCCGTAAGGTAAAGAATTGAAAATGGATGCTTAATTAATGATCTACCGTCACAATTTCATTACAATTACCAAATGTATATGCATGCATGGGGTCACAAATTAATCTCGTGTAGGGGACGAAGGAAAAATGGGAACACTGTACCTCAAACTTACCCTTCACGCAAGTTGTCCGAAATGTCACACCGTATCACGTGAGGCTGAGCAGAATGGGTTACAGGTCTCTTGTCTATAGGTAATTAATTAATTAATTAATTGATTGATCGTTAACTAACTGAGGATATATAATTAATTAATACTCCTTCACCACTTTTTTTTCAAGGCCCCAAGCAACAACATCAATGTTTTCTTTTCTATTTTCATTGTGTTTTTGAGATTGTACGTATGAAGTGTCATGTAGTATTAGGTGGTGAAATATAACGCATGCATGCATGCATGTGCAGCGGTGATCATGACATGGTCATTCCATATTTGTCAACTCATGCATGGATAAAGTCGTTAAATTATTCTGTGGTCGAGGATTGGAGGCCATGGATGGTGGAAGGACAAGTTGCAGGGTATGTATATAATAATATAATCCCTCCATCCCAAAAAATCTTTTACAGCTAGACTTTTTTTTGTTTGTTAAAGTGCTAAAACTTTTGACTATTACAGAGTAACAAATACTCCTTTTGTCCAACAATAAAGTTTCCGTTCACTTTTCATAGGGTCAAATTTTATTAACTTTGTTGCCCCTATTTTCATGGCTTATTTGATAAAATAATATAGTCATGTCACCTCTAGTTTTGTAGATCTTTTCATGTAGTTTTTAAATATATAATTTTATTGTTTTATTCCATACCATTTTTCATATAGAATAATTTAAAAATAATTTCAGTCAAACATCGTAACGTGCAACGGGAACTTTATTTATGGACGGAGGAAGTATAGTTTTTAAGTAATTTTTTTTAAACGGAAATATCAAAATTACAACAAAGTGAACCCATCCAATTATATTAAATTTATTTTATACCAAAATATACATTTGTCGTAATTTGTGATCAACATGTCTAGTACTCTAGTTGTTTGTCCAAAAAAGTTGCACGCACTCTATGTAATTATATATGTGTACGCACACTAAATGTAATCTTCCTCTTGCATACGCTGCTTTCTGTAGGTACACAACGACATATGCCAATCAAATGACATTTGCAACCGTCAAGGTACATTTTGCACAATTGTCTCTTTTTCAGAGTATAAAAACATATCTTAGGCCTATTATCACTGCCACAAACAACAACAACAACAACCCAGGTGAATCCCACAACAGAAGGGTCTGGGGAGGGTGTGTGTACGCAGACCTTGCCCCTACTCGGAAGTAGGGAATATCACTGCCACAAAGTTTTAAAAAATTATAGACTAATTTTCACATTCAATGTTTGAATTGATGTTTTGGCATGGCTTCTATAATCTGCCCTCTCTCCAAAAATCTTGTTTCCATTTGACTTCTTGGTAAAAATTTATAAGGTTTCCTTGCGGAAAAAAATACATCGTGTTATGATACAAATGTCATATCAATAGGTTTCCTTTTAATTGTAGTTTTAAAATATTGAATTTGTATGAAATATATCCATGTATAAATATAGATCATATTAATGGTCAAAGTTTTATATTGGTTGCCGTTAAAAGTTACATAGTAAGTAAGATTGTTTCTGAAGAGAGTATAGTAGTACACAACACATACACACACACAAAGACATATATATATATATATATATATATATATATATATATATATATATAGGAAATAATATATGAAATAATTTAAATACGCGTGTGTATGTAGGGAGGAGGTCATACGGCACCGGAATATCGTCCTTCAGAATGTTTGGAGATGTTCAAAAGATGGATATCTAAGAAACATTTATAATCAATTAGCAGCACATTTGCACTGCACACAAATTAAATAAGGTTTGAAACATTGATGTTCGACCATTAATGTTCGTGGAACTTTGTAAAAACTTGATTATCGTAGAAGTGTGTGGTGGTAAAGTTCAATCTCGTAACTTCTTGGTTAATAAAATTCTCATTATAAGATTTATGATGTGGCAGGGACTACAGACAAAGCCATAGGAGACTTGAGTTGGCCTATATTAAAATCATGTTTTATTGGATTGAATTCCAGTTGGATGTTGAAAGAAATTAGAAAAGTTGAAAGAAATTGATAGGAATTGGAAAATCTTGGAAGAACTTTAGTGTTTAAAAGTAATTCAAATCATTCAAATAAAGATATAAGAAAATTCTAATTTTAGATAAAAAAGAATTCATCATTTTCTGTGTTTGAGATGACATGTTATAAATTTGAATATATAAATTTTTTTTGTATTAATCATAAGAACATGGTGTAAAAGATTGAAATCAATCTGAATACATGGGTCAATTCAAATATTATAAATCCATTACTCTCTCTCTCTGTGTGTGTGTGTGTTAAGCCTATTGTACAGGCTGGCTGGGGTTTAGAAAATTTTCTTAATAAAACGTATTTAGGGACAGATAGAGTATGATATTACATACTCTATCCCAAATTAATAAAAGTTGTTGGGATAAAGGCCCAATTAATGTAGGACAAGGGCCCATAGTGAGGAAGTGCTCCCAAGCGGCGCATGAAGCCCTCGCCAGCCGCGCGCTCTGACCCGACCAATCTCCAGAACGGAGCTCGCCTAGGCCCAACGGACCCTCGGGGTCGGGGAAGGCTTGGGAAGATCATCACTACACATTCACCCCATGATTACCAAACGAGACTCGCTCGGGATCGGGCCATCAACTCGGTGACCAAGCGCCAATTATAACTGTCGTATGATCATTTAATCCGGAGGCGACGTCTGGCGCCGCCAGCCGCCGGAAATCGCTACACAGTGATTCCCAATGTAGACTCGTGCGTTAGCTGCCGTCAACCACAACAGGTTGATATACATTTTTTTTGGGGTACCTTAGGCCCTAACACAGTTAAAAAAATATACGGAGTATGATGAGAAGAGTGAGAATGAATGGTGAAAGTGTACGGTGTACCCCCGTGGGGCAAAAAAAGAAAAGACCATTAGGTACAAGAGGTGAATCAAACGGGGGCTATCTACCATAATACTCCCAAACCCCAACTACCCTTCAAGTTTCATCTTTCTTTTGTCTTTTTTCTCGATCTTCAAGCTATGTTTGGTTGAATTGAAGGAGTTTGGAAGAAAATAATTTTCTTTTCTTTTTTCCTCTCAAATTCTTTGAACAAGACATAGAGTCAATGTAGTACTTTGACTAATTATATTTCTATTTATATATACTCACTCCATCCTAAAACGTTTGACCTATTTTATTTTCAGTTTAATTTATTTGACTGTAGGTGTAAAATTATAAAATAAAATTTATATTTTCAAAAAACCACATCAAAAATTTTACAAAACGAGATGAGCCAAGACTTTTTTTTAAATTAGGTAACTCACGAAAATGGATAAAAGAAAAATGTTTAAAATTTGACAGTATGAATAGTAACTGGGAAGAGTACTTTAGGACAGAGGGAGTATAATTTTGTATTGAAAAAAAAATACTTCCTCCGTCCCAAATTATTTGCCACATTTGCTGTTTCAACAGTCGTGGGAACTTTTGTTTATTTCTACGTTTTCATTGGTTATTTAATAAAATAAAATATTCTTGACACCTCTTATTTCGAAGAACTTTTCATGTAGTTTTTTGATATGTAATTTTTATTTTTTATTTCTTTATTAATATGTAAATAGAATAAAATGAATTGAAAAAACTTGATATTTTGCCTCGGTAATAGAAATGTGACAAATAATTTGGGACGGAGGGGGTATGAAATTTTTAAATTATAGTTCAAAATGAATTTATTACTATATCATATCTCAATATCTTTTTTTCAATATTTCAAGATAAAAAAACAAAGTCAAATGCGCCACTGAAAATATATAGAGGGAGTGGGGGAACTGAATGAATGAATTCAACAACAGTGCAAGATCGGATAGATAGAAATGGGGAGGGCGGCTGTCGTCTTCTTCCTAATAATTCAAATTACTGTTCCGAATCTGTTCGCCGCCGCCGCCGAAGCCGCTTCTGGTTCGCCGGTGAAGTTTCTTCCGGGCTTCGATGGCGGCCCTCTTCCTTTTCAACTCCAAACTGGGTTTGTCCTCATTTAATCTCTTTATGCTTCTATATAAACACATATATATTGCTTAATTCGCACTTTTTTTTCGTTTTATTCTGAAATAAAGGCCACTTTATTTCAAAATCTCCCAAAAAAAAATTACTTTCTTAGGGTCTGTTTGTTTTCTGGGAAAATTAATGTTCTAGAAAAATATAATTCATTCTTCCTACAATTGGTAAAATAAGTAAGTGCTAGAAAAAAATTAATTTTCTCTCAAAGATAGGAAAATAGGAGGGGTTCATTTTTTTTTTTGAATTTACCATGTTTCTTTATCATTCATTTGTTTTACTTCAACAAGTTTTTGAATCTACCATTCATTTTCCTTTTTATAAAGTTATTTTTCTCTAAAAAAAAATTTTTCAGGAAAATATTCCTACACCCCTACTCTTACTCTACAAGATCGCTATTCAATCTCATCTTTTTTTTTGTGTCAAACTCTAGGAGTGTAGGGTATTTGGGGAAAGAAGAAGTTAGGTGAGTCGTGACAAAGTGTGTCGCTATAATCTCATCTTTTTTTTTGTCATTCATACATTTTGATTTTTTTGGTTGACTTGTGACACCTTTTGATCGCGAATTATGAAAAAAGTAATTTAGTTATAATACAAATTTAATATAATTGAATTTAGTTTAAAATATAGTTTTGAAGTAGTCCCTATCAAGTTTTTATACCCCTCACTCCCAAAACGTTATTCCTGATTACTACCTCCGTCCCATTTTATAACGTCTGTTTCGGTTTACGATGTTTGACTGAAATTATTTTCAAACCATTTTATATGACAAATGGTATAGAATTAAAAAATAAAAATTTCATATTAAAAAACTACATCAAAAGATCTACAAAACTAGTAGTGACAATAGTATTTTATTTTATCAAATTGCTAACGAAAATAGAGAAAGAAAGTGAATGAAGTTTGACCTTGTGAATAGTGAACAGACATTATAATTTGGGACAGAGGGAGTATTTACACGGTCAAATTTAATCACTTTCTTTACCAATTTTCTTTTGATATTTGATAAATTAATAGTTTTTTCACTTCTTATTTTATAGAAATTTTAATGTAGTTTTTAAATATATAAATTTTATTTTTTAATTTTATACCTCCAATCAAATAAATTGAATTAAAAATAAAGTCAGTCATCGTAAACATAAACGAAAAGATTGTTTTAGGACTGGAGGGAGTAATATTTAATTATTTTAAACTATATTTATTTTGTGTTCAAAGAATGTCACATTTTGACTAAAAAAATTAAACTATGACAATCTTTTAAGGACGAGGAAATATTATACTCTGTATTTAATTATAATATAAATTTAATAAAATTGAATTCATCTTTGAATATAATTTTAATATATTTCGGCTGCGTTCGCCTGATCTGATTTTTTGAAAATCTGATATGATCTGATCTGATTGCAATTATAATTAAAGTTGGTTCTGATCTTGTCTGACCTGATTATAATAAAATTAAATAATAAGCATAAAAAATAAGTTGAACGAAACGCTGTCTTCATCCATCTAAAAAAAATCTTTGTTTTTTTAGACCGTCGTAAAAACTCTCCTCTATAATTTTTTGAAAAATTTTGAGTCACACAATTCTTCTCTTCTCTATTTCACTCTCAATAATACATTTCTCTTTATATATATGATATTTTTGGGCCAAAATGATTATAAAATTTTTATAATATTTATTTATCTAAATTATAATCCGTATATAATTTGTAGAAAAAAAGTGTGAATGTTAGAGCATCTCCAACCATGCTTGTTATTTTAATTTACTATTTTTACATTATAGCAAGTAAATAGTGATATAGCAAGCATTTTTTTGCTTTATTCTCCAACCATAATTTGTCATTTTAATTTTTAAGTATTGGCTAGCTAAATTTTGAGGAACTTGTCATATTTAGCAAACCAAAATTATTTTTTGGCAAACTTGTTAAAATAAAGCATGCCCTTTGGAGAAGAACAAAAGTATTTAACTAGTTATATTATAACTTTTAGCTAGTTAAAATGATATGGTTGGAGATGCTTTTAGCCAAAAATAAATTAAGACATACGGAGTAAAGGTTTTTCTAATACCAATGAGTTTATTCAATCGCTGCCTGGCATAATAAATGGGCCACGTCTTTGGGCTAACCGCCCGAGTGAAAAAAAAGGTGTGACCCATGCCGGGTCCAAGCATGCATAGACAATATTAAAGATAAAAAAAAGGTTAGGGATAAGTCTAAGGGTCCGTTTGGTATACGGAATGGATGGAATTGGAATTGAATTGGAATTGAAATTTCATGGGATTCAATTCCATAGAATTGAATTCTGCTAATTTCAATTCATTTTTTGCACTATCAATTCCAAATCCACATCATTTTTGTACTACCAAATACCAGAATTGGAATTGAAGTCCCCATTCCAATTCCATATTTTGAATTCCGTGTACCAAACGGGGCCTAATAGTCTCTCTTCCAAAAAGATTGTTACACTTTGATTTTTTTGAACAAATTGTGGCATTTTATAACCACGGATTAAATATAATTTAAAATAATTAAATTTTATAAAAATTTGATAGTTCAAAATTACTTCCCCCGTCCCTAAATATTTGCCACACTTGTATTCCCGAGGCAAAATATCAAGTTTTTTCAATTCATTTTATTTACATATTAGTATATAAATAAAAAATAAAATTTACATATTAAAAAAATACATGAAAAGTTCTTTGAAATAAGAAGTGTCAAGAATATTTTATTTTATTAAATAACCAATGAAAACGTATAAATAAACAAAAGTTCTCGCGACTGATGAAAAGCAAACGTTATAAATAATTTGGAACGGATGGAGTATATTTTAAGATACTCGTAAAATTTAATTTTACTTAATTTACATTATAGCTAAATAATTTGACAAAAAAAGTCAAACTGTTATAACCTTTTTAAGACGGGAGGGAGTGTGATATTATACAAAGTACTTCATAAATCATACCCTTTGAGTTCCGAAATAATCGTCTTACTTTGACATATCATATAATGTTAGAAAGCATTCCACCTTGAAAGTTGAAAAGATAAACAATGGATATACATGTTCTAGAACCAAACTAAATAATCGAGTGAATTCATTTTTTCAGTGTGTTTCAGTTCTAGCGTTTTACAGCTTAATCCAGGGAGTACTCTATAGCCCTCGTCTATCACTTGTTTTCATCGAATTTAAAAAATATTGAAAAAAGGAGAAAATTATGGACCACACGTTCTTTACTGTGACAATTATCTGGGGATGGACTAAAAAAAAGTATGACGATTAAATGGGAATGGTTTACGGCCTGTTTGGGAATAGCGTTAGAGATTAGCGTTAGCGTTTTCAAAAGGCTATCTACGGGCAGCATTTAGCGTTAGCGTTTTGAAAACGCTAATGCTAATCTCTAACGCTATTTCCAAACAGGCCCTATTCGACTTGACCTATATGATAAGTGTGTGGATGCAGGTATATTGGAGTGGGAGATGAAGAACAAGTGCAACTTTTTTATTACTTTATAGAGTCGGAATCAAATCCGAAAGAGGACCCTCTCATTCTTTGGATCTCGGGAGGCCCTGGCTGTTCTCCCCTGCGCGCTATCATTCAAGAAATTGGTAACCCCCCCACCCTCTTTTTTGAATGTTTTTTTCACCTTGCAAATATGAAATACATTACCAATTGATAAAATCTAATTTTAATCTTTTCGAAAGTGATTTATTATTTCATCATCGCTAATATTAATAATCAAAAACATTATAAATTTATAATGTAATTTAATCCTATCCATACAAAATGAAAATCCAACTCACAATTCACAAAAAAAACAAGTTCACAAGAACAAATCATGCTCGGTAATTTATTTTTTATAATTCTTACAAAGAAATGAACCATCAATAACTCCAACAATATCAAAATTATACTTCGTTGAACTATAGCAAATAAGTTACTAGCTCTCTCCGTCTCTAAAAATCTTTCGTCCATTTTTCATCCGTCCCAAACGACATTTCTTTTTTTTAAAAAATAAAAAGTCACTTTTGTTTCAACTAATTTAAACCTTAATCTATCAATCACATCTTATTTTTTCATCATATCCGAGAGCAATTTTGGAAAAATAACAACCAAATGCGCTCTCTTTAAATCACTTTAAACTTGACTATAGCAAGAGATTTTAGGAACGAAAGCAGTACTCCGTATTAAATTATTTTCCGTAAAATATAGATAGAATCCACAAATGTAGAATGTACAGAGTTAGCGGGCTTTTCGTCAAAAAACAGAAAGGGTGTAGAAATATTATTATAACCGAAATTGACCTAATTATGAGCCGATTACTTTGGCCCGTCACTATCAAACACTAAGAGATAGCCTAACACTCCCCCTCAAGTTGAGAATGGAGATCATGAATGAACAACTTGAACAATAAAATTAGAAAAAAACAACTCAATAAACAACTTGGACAAAACTTTGATTTGTTTTGTCAACAACGGATGAAGGCAACTGGCCGAGCAAACGAGCAACCATAATTTGATGACGAATGACTCCCACGTGGGACGACTAACAAACAGATAAAATGTTACCGGGACTGATGCGCGACTATGCGACCAACCCCACTAACAAATATGCCGGACTGAGGTGCGACTATGCAACCAACCTCACAAACAAATATGCCGGACTGAGGTGCGACTATGCGACCAACCTCAATACAAAATTTGGTCACTTTTGTTCCAACTAATTTTGGCCAAACAGTTTCAGCCCACAAACCTCAAAACGAAAAGATCAGTTGTTGCGCACCAAATTGACAATTGCAGCCTACAAATTCAGATTTATGCATCCTAGAATTGGCCGTAGACAAAACGGCTGCACAAAGTCCAAACGATGAAGATCCATGGTTGATAGATAATATTTAGTAAAGTGAGACGACGGCGGCGCCAGCTGACAGAAGCTACCACACGCCAAACAAACGACACACATCGTTTGCCATTGTTGTCTGATCTGTCGGCGGCTGACTATCTCTAAAATTGAGAAACGGCGACCGGAACTTGAGATTGAGACATCGTAGAACAAAAATGCGAAGACTAGCCAGCAAACCATGCTGCGGCCGAACATGTGCAGGCCAAACAGGACTTTGTTGGCTGTTGATCATGGATGAACTTTGACAAAGTTTTACGTTGGCTGTTGAGACCTAACACAACCCTCCTCTTTTATCCGGGCTTGGGACCGGTATGTTACAGAGGCAGAGTGTGACTTTTTATACTCAGGACTAATACTTGATGTGTAATATTGGGAAATGTACTCAAAATTTGGCATACTTTATTTACTACGTAGTGAGTATTTAAAAAATAGACCAAAAAAAATAGAACAGCTTATTATTCGTGTGTGCAGGACCATTGCTTATTGAACCAGTGGAGTATGATGGGAGTTTGCCCAGGTTACTGCCATTCCCTTATTCTTGGACAAAGGTGAATAATTAATCTTTTATCCAATTGGATTTTTAATTTGTGCTTATGTTATGGACTAATTTCACTATTCCACATCGGTCAAATATGGGACTTAGTAATGGGTTAATATAGCCAAAGTTTCTCCTACTTTAATGACTAGCTCTTAGGGTGTGATTCTTCCTTGTGTTATTGAAAGTTCTAAACGCTACCACCGTACTCAGTAAACGCACAAGCACTATCAGGGAATGACAACAGGATTGTTGTAGCAAAAACTTAGACGACAGACAAGATGCTACAGCACTTCCTTTAACACCAATGCACGTAAAACACAGAATAAAGTAAATATGCAAGACACAGAAGTTGTTTACGCAGTTCGGAAAACTTTCCTACGTCTGCGGGGCCCACATCCGTGTAACAGCCCTTCCACTAAATCACCGTAACGATTACACCTTCAATGACAAAAGACTCAATCTATTGTATTGACTTAATCAACTTACGGGTGACTTTGATATACCAAACTCTGTATCATGCACTTCGGCTAGTTACACCAACTCCAGTTAACTTCATAAGCTAGATGTGTTACGATCCTTTACCAGCACTTCATAGATCACCAGCTGGATGACGAGAACTTCTTGCTTCCTGAGAAGTATGATAAGCAATGCTCAAACAAGGGTTGCTGAGGATTAACAACCCATGAATTACACCTTGATGAATTTAGACTCTCTGCCTCTCTTGTGTTGCTCAGTATCTCTCTCCCTCGTTTGCAACCTGGCCAATTGTGTATATATATGTGTGTGTGTGTGAGAACACAAAAACCCTAACTGAGTCCTTCTCAAACACATCAAGCATGTAGGCGTGTAATCTCCTTGACTCCATGACATGGCAGAACGCTACAATCCCAAGCCAACTAGGCAATTCATACGACACCCATTCCTACTATTTGTTTTTGTCACAAGGATAAGGTCAACAAACAATAAAGACTAAAAACCCAGACTCTCCCTTTGTACGTAAAATATACAATAGCTAACAGTTGTATCAATGGTATTAGAGCCAACTCGAGTGGTGGCCTGGTAAAACTAGTCATGACCACGACAGTCGTGACCAACGAGGACGATGGGCCTTATGGGTGGTCAAATGTTACAGATTGATTTCATTGTCCCACACCGGTCAAATAGAGAACTTAGTGATGAATTTATATGGCCCAGGGTTGTCCCACTTTAGTAACTAGTTTTTGGGATGTCGTTCTCTCTTGTGCTAGCTTTTGAAAAAATAAATTGTAGAAATATAAATCGAAACACGAGAGTTTTGAACTCATATATTTGAATGAGATTTTTGCGTCATTTACCCCTAAAATTTTATGAAAATTGCATGGATTCACCCTGAAATTTGAGAATTGCCCCAATGCTCCCTGAACTTTTTAAAAATATTGCACCAACGATCCCTCTATGCCAGATTTGGGAGTGTGTTAATTACACACTCATCAATATATGTGTTGGAGCTTGATGAAGATGTCATTGATTGATGAAAAGGTTGATTGATTGATAACGAACTTTATCGACTAATGTCCGGCCTTGAAATTCGGTTATCAATGACTAAATCGAGAATTTAGGATTTAAAGGGGTTAAATGTATATAAAATAATGATTGGGAAAAGTGTTTTGCAAAACTCACGTGTGATATATGATTTTAGATGACCCCATACTTGCACAAGATGAACATGTCATTAACGCACTTCTAAATTTGGCATTGATGGACCATTGGTGTAACATTCTAAAATTTTAGAGGGTATTGTTGCAATTTTTAAAGTTCAAGGGTAACTCATGTAATTTTTAAAGCATTAAACTCATGACATTATTGACATCTAGGATATGATATTATATGGGTACTATTTTTTTTTGGTGCTTATATTTTTTTGCTTATAAATCCATTCATAACGTGCATCTATGTGCTTATAAGTTGTTTCGAGGTCGAAAAAATAAGTATAAATAAGCTTAACGTACTTATTTTTAAGTCACCTCTTTTTTCGTTTATATGTGACCAAACTTTTTAACAAAATTATTCCTAATCTTTTATGAATATTGCTAAATGACTCATCTTTCATTTAAATCACTGTAAAAAAAATCTATCATTTAACTTGTATGTTGTTTGAGTGAGGTCTTTCATAAAGAGTTTCAATACTTTCTATCAAGAAACTCACTCAACCCAAAGCCCAAGCTTGTGGTTGTAGGCTCAGAGATGATCTATATACACACACACACACTCTCTCTCTCTCTAAGACGCCCCTCACGTGCAAGTGTGACTTCTTTGAGCTTTGCAATTCAAATCTTAATTTTTTTTAAAACCGAGTGGTGGTGAGTATCGACCTCATGACTTCTTGGTGAAAAAGGCTCTGATTCCATGTAAGAAACCAATTTAACCAAAAGTTCAAGTTTGTATTGTAAACTTAGGAAAAGTTTTTTTTCTTTATATGTGTATGTGTGTGTGTATAATGAGATTAATAAAATACTCTTTAATTATAAATAAATTTGATGATGATGATGATGATGATCATAGCATATATGCATCTGCAGGTTGCTAGCATTATATTTCTGGATTTACCAGTTGGGACTGGATTTTCTTATGCTACAACTTCAACTGCCCTCCATTCCGATGATTTGTTGATGGGTGCCAATGCATATGAATTTCTTCAAAAGGTCCATTCCAAAACTAAAAAACTTTACGAGTACATTCAGACATACAATACACTACCTTCGTGGGATTTGTTTTGTTTGACTTTTTCAAATCAAATTGGATAAATTCTGAACTTTAATTACTCTCAATTTGTATTACTATTTAGTATAACGAAATCAAACAATAAGCTAAGAATACATTAATTGAGACGTACAATTAATATTCATACTCCAAAGCATTTAGCACTATATACAGAGCATGAAATTAATGTTTTTTGTAATAAAATGGGAATATCTTAATAATATTTTTAATTTATTTAGTAATCTAATTTGCAGTGGTTAGTAGAGAATCCAGAGTTTCTTGCAAATCCTTTCTATGTTGGTGGCGATTCCTACGCCGGCATCACAGTTCCAATCGTTACTGAAATCATATCCAATGGTAAAGTATTTAAAATGAATTATGGAGTATTATATATGGATATACAAAATGCTTTATTCTTTTATTTCTTTTCAATCAAAATAGAGTTTTATTGTACACTTATTATGTGCTCCTTTCCAATTTGTCTCTAAAATGTACTCCTGTCTCTCAATTTGACTTTACAAAGTTTTAAAAAGCTTGAAAAGTTAAAAGTGGTTCAAATTTGAGTAGAGAAAGGAGAAAGATTGTGGACTACGTAATCTTTACTTTATTAGGAAAGTAAAAAAACGAAACAAGTACTCTAGAACGAACTAAAAATGAAAGTGACACGATTAATTCGAGACGGATAGAGTACGTTAAACTATATATTCTTTCTTTACATACGGAGTATTCTTATTAAGAATTTGATAAAAGATATGTTTACCTCTTGTTTTATAAAACTATTCGTCTGTGTGCGTGTATTATACTTTCTTTTTGAAGAAAATGTGTATTATACTTTATAATTCTATACTAATTTTAAAATGCGTGCAGGAAACGACAGAGGAATTAAGCCATTTGTTCAACTTCAGGTCTAAATTTATTAGTCATTCAATTCGTAGTTTCCTCCATTTGAATTGGGCAATTTATAACATCTAAAATATGACGAATTCCATGGTAGACCTAAGAGCATATGCAATGGTGATGTGAAAATAAAATGCCACATATTGACGTGTAAAATTTCAACCAATCAAAAATAGTTCAGTCAAAAAGTAACAAACTTCTTTAGAAAAGACAGAAAATTTTTATAGCCTTACCACTCTCTGTAATAACAATTGGACCACACATGCTTCCATTCATTTTCTTTCTGTCTTTCCCTCTTTTATATTTCGGCAATTAATTTAAAGATTGAACTCGGTATATCCCTGAGCGGGTCAGGAATAGTGAGTCGAATACGAAGTATAATCTATAGCTAATTGTACAACTTTTTTTGTTTCTCATATACATACAGACTCTCACACATACATAACAGACATTCTAATAATAAAGTATGAAATTTGCAGGGGTACATACTTGGTAATCCTACAACCTCTCTAGCTGACTTCAACAACAGAATACCATTTGCTCATAGATTGGCACTCATCTCTGACGAGTTATACCAAGTGCGTACGCACGTGCAGTGGGTTTTTCTTTTCTACTATTGGATCGGGAATATATATATATATATATATATATATAGGATTGACTCTAGTGAGATGACACCTTATGGTAAGATGACATGCTTCAATCAGATGACACAACCAATGCAAAGCTCACCACTTTTTTTTAAAAAAAGTTAAAAAAAATAGCACTGCCAGTCAACCAACAGTCAACCACCGGTCCACGGCGACAGTGGGGGTCATCGGTGGTGGCCATTGGTCATGGGCGGTCAAAGTGTAAAGCTCACCAAGTGTCAATGCAAAGCTCACCAACTGACAATGGAAAGCTCACCAAGGGACAATGCAAAGCTCACCACTTTTTTTTAAAAAAAAAGCTAATAAAATTGCACTACCGGTCCACGGAGGTAGTCTGTAGCGGTTGGAAGTCAGCACCACCGCCCTTTGTTTTTTTAAATCATTTTAATCTTTAAAGTGTGGTGAGCTTTGTGCACATATTCAGTGAGCTTTGCAATGAGAGTCAGTGAGCTTTGTTGTTGGGCTTTGTGAACAAAAGTAAAGTGTTGGAAAATCATGGTGAGCTTTGCAGTGGACAGTGGTGAGTTTTGCAGTGATCAATAGTGAGCTTTGCAGTGATCAGTGGTGAGCTCCAGCTTCATCTGACTGAAACATGTCATCCTACCACAAGGTGTCATCTCACCGGAGTCAATCCCATATAATATTAACCACTCTGATCTTATTATTACAAAGTTGAAAAATACTTAATTAATGATGATTTGGATCAAAGTTAGTAATATAATTGCCCTTATTCTATGTATGCCTCAAACAGGGGCTAAAAAGAGATTGCAAAGGAGAGTATTATTTGGACACTGATCCTACCAATTTACAATGTCAGCAACACCTACAAACCTATAATCAGGTCTGAGGTTGCATATATGCATTATATGAAAATCTTAAAATTGATATGATTGAGCTAGTCAGTAGTTAATTTCAGCATCACTTATACTTTTTTAGTCAATTAGTAAGCTGCGTTTATGCATTATATTACGGAGGACGTAAGTAATAACATGCACATTTGCATTGCAGTTGATTGAGGGAATATATAGTCCCTATATTTTGGAGCCTGGTTGTGTGACTAGTGGTGATGGTGATTCTTTTTCTTCGATAGAAGCATCGTCATCATCATCACGAAGACAGTTTATTCCAATTTTGCCCTCGGGCCAGCACAAAAGGTATTTGTTGGACAAGTACTACAAGCAAAAACGACGGCTCAAGAATCCGGACTTGCTTCCAGGATTGAAATGTCGGGTACGCATGTTCATAATAAGCGCATTTAATTTATTCACACACATACTCGGGAGTTGTGCAAATAAATGTTCAATCAGGCGGCATCATGTTGCGTTGTAGGAAGATTGGAACATACAGATTGAGTCTTGGGCCAACGATGATCGTTCCCGAGAGGCCCTTCATGTCCGTAAGGTAAAAAATGCACGCCTAATGAAATACCGCCACAATTTATTTATCATTACCAGATACGAGTGCATGGGGTCACAGTTCAAATTAATGTCGTGCAGGGGACGAAGGGAAAATGGGAACATTGTACCTCAAACTTACCCTTCACAGGCCTCATCCGAAATGTCATACCGTATCATGCGAGGCTGAGCAGAATGGGTTACAGGTCTCTTGTCTATAGGTAATTAATCACTGCCTCCGTCCCAAGAAACTTTTCTTGCATTATCTATCAATGTTTTGTTTGTGTTTTTTAGATTCTACCATACATACATAATAATATATATCATGTATAAATTAAACTATAAAGTGGTGAAATATATAAAATGCATGCATGCATTCATATGCAGCGGTGATCATGATATGCTCATTCCATATTTGTCAACTCATGCATGGATTAAGTCGTTAAATTATTCTGTGATCGACGATTGGAGGCCATGGATGGTGGAAGGACAAGTTGCAGGGTATGTATGTGTGTGTGTGTGTGTGTAAAATAGGGCACAAAAATGTAAATTTGGGACCAGGCCAATTTTATTTTTTCATTTTTCGGGGCCGGCCCTGAGATACATACATAAATGTGTGTGTATTCCCTCTATCCCAAAAATACTAAATGTAATCTTCCTCTTATATACGCTGTTTTCTGTAGGTACACAACGAAATATGCCAATCAAATGACATTTGCAACCGTCAAGGTACACTTTGCACATTTTAATTGAGCCTAGTGTTTGTTATAAAGTATAAAACATAACCTAAACCTACAATCACAAGTTTGAGTATTTGATTGATCGAGTTTGATCTTTGACATCATAACAGTGTCTTGATGATCAAGATGTCACGTGTTCAGGCTTGACTGTCACCTAATTTTTTTTTTTAAAAAATAATCTTTACATGCAATGTTTGAGAAAAAACACACCTGCACGTGTAGGGCGTGTTAGAGTATAAAACATGCCTTAGGTCTACAATCACAAGCTTGAGCTTTTGGTTGAGTTGGTGCTTTGACAAGCAAGGCTTTTGTAATCTGTGTGTGAGATATACTCCCTCCCTCCAAAAATCTTATTTTCATTTGACTTTTTTTTGTTAAAATCTAGTATAAATTATCACTTGGATATGCAAAAATATATATTATGTATAAGATATATTTATGTATAAATATATATCATATTAGTGATCACAGTGTTATATTGATACGAAGAACATTTCTAAATAGAGAGAGTTCATAAAAAGTGTGTGTGCATTTATACATATGCCTTGAAAATTACCCTTACATTTTGTGTAATGCAAATGCGAGACTAATGGCTTACATTGACACAAAATGTTAGTGCGAAATTTTGCGATCCTGCTGACATTTTGTGTCAAGGTAAACCATCAAAATATAAATGTAAACTCTTAAGGTACAATCTTTGTGGTACATGTTACACCTAGCATGGTTGATATAAGAAATAATTTGAATCCGCACGTGTATGCAGGGCGGAGGTCATACGGCACCGGAATATCGTCCTAAAGAATGTTTGGAGATGTTCAAAAGATGGATATCTAATAAACATTTATAATGATAATTAGCAGCTCATTGCACTGCACACAAACTAAATAAGGTTTGAAACATTGATGTTCGACCACTAAGTTGCAGACATTATATAATGGGGTGTTTGCTGATATATCAGGTAAAAGAGAAATATATAAGAAGGGTGAATTTTTTGTTCATCACAATGCCTATTTATATTATGGTAGTGCATTTTTGCAATGGCATAAAATTTCAACTTATTTACTGAAATGCCAGTGTTTTTCCAGAATTTTGCTTATTTTTCTATTTTTTTTAATGACCCTTAGGTCATATTCTCTAATGGAGCACATGCATTCTTAATTATTTCATTGACTAGATTTCATTCTCACAAGATCCAAAATCTTTCTAATATAATGAAACATGAAGCACTATTTTGAACTTTGTATTTGAAAACCTAATTCTTTTAGACTTGAGTGATGGTGAAGTTTGAGCACGTAACTGCTTGGCCAATAAGAGTATGATATTATTATGGGGTTTGTGATGTGGTAAGAGCTACACAATAAGCTATAATAAGACACTTGAGTTGAACTAAATTAAATCAAAATATTGAATTCAATCGATTACTTATTAGTTTAACTCAAAAGTTTTACAAGTTACGTTCATTATTTTATCTTCAAAGTTCTAATGTGCAGTGGCACATAAACACTGCCATAAAGTGAATAACTAAGCCAATTTAAATCTAAGTAGTTTACGATCTGTAAATGTTCTCTCGCAAAAAGGTTGAGGCGACATCGATCAATTAATTAATTGTATTTAAATCAGGGTGGAGAGAATAGGTATAATCTAATTAGATGTTAAAGATTTGATTTTATTGACTTCGTCCCCTGCCCACATAAGTCCTATGTAGACATGCAACAAATATATTTTGGAAAATTTACATTTGATTATTACAAAGAGAGCGTAATAAAAAGAAATCACTCTAAATATGAGTAAAAAATATAGAGAAAGTATAAAAATAAGAGTTTCATGTTTTTCATCCTCAAAATAGAAGTTTACGCTGTGGTAATTAATCTAATACTTTATATAGATATTTAATAATATTTTTTGGTAATATATGGTTATGATTGACACTGTAATTATATTTTAACTCATATTTCGATAATAGAATTATGAAACACTTATTTTGATACTCCATCTGTTCCAAATTTGATTACAATCTTTTTGTCTCTCTCCTCTTGATAATTTTTGTTTATTTATGTATTTTTATTGATTATTTGATAAAATAAAATATTCATGTCATTTTTTTGTAAAGATGCGAGTATATTTTTAATTTTAATAAAATATTCATGTCATCTCTTATTTTGAAAATCTTAATTTATAATCATTTGGCACAAAGGGATTATATTTTAATTTTTACTCTTACTTTAGTTTGATCCCGACCTTCCATCCGTAAATATTCTTCTCATTTTCCTTTTGGTCCGTTTGAAAATATGTTTCTCATTTCCTTTTTTAGACCACTTTTTAAGGATAAATCTCAATAATATCATTCTATTTTACTATTAATCTACTTTTTTATTAGTTTTTGAATAAGAAAAGAAGAGCAATGCTAGGTTCACAAACAATGCTATCACAAACTTCACAAATTTTCCATTTCATATTTAAATTCTTATTTTAAAATTATAAGGTCTGCGTACACACACCCTCCCCAGACCCTACTGTTGTGGGATTCACCTGGGTTGTTGTTGTTGTATTTTAAAATTATTTTAGATTATTTAATTCTTTTTATTGAGGTTCACAAATAGTAAGTTTGTGAAATTTGTGACGGTTTTGTTTGTGAACCAAGCATTTCCTAGAAATTAAAAGAAACTTTAAAAGGTTATAGTTCTTGCATTTTTGGAAATTTAGCTTTTTTGTGATTTATTAATAAGAGTGTTAAGTCAACACGTAAAGAATATTTGTTTCTAAATATTCTTAATAGTCAATAGTCAAGTGACGCGTATAACATTTTGCGAGTTACATCTGGCGCCTGGACTTCACAGAAGTAATCCGCCCTCTATACGACTGGCGTCATTAATATTACTACTCCCTCCGTCCCAAATTATTTGCAACATTTGCTTTTTTAGCAGTCGCGGGAATTTTTGTTTATTTCTATGTTTTCATTGGTTATTTGATAAAATAAAATATTCTTGACACATCTTATTTCGAAGATCTTTTCATGTAGTTTTTTGATATGTAAATTTTATTTTTTATTTCTATACCAATATGTAAATAAAATGAATTGAAAAAAGTTGATATTTTGCTTCGGGAATACAAATGTGGCAAATATTTAGGGACGGAGGGAGTAAAACTTTAGAGTTTTATTTGGATCAAAAGTGGTTGATGTAATGATGTGTGTATATTTTGTGTTCTGATATCATATGAATAGATAACTCTAACAAGGCTCGTGTAACAAAATAATAATTTAGAGGGGTATGATGTGATTAAACTCTTTTTTTAATGTTATTGACTCCATTATAAGGTATAATTTATTCATACTATTTTCAACCTATCAAGGTGCAAAGAATCAATGCTTCCGTTTTCGCTGAGATTTGGGCTCGCTACCACTCAATCCAGGGGAGAAGTTCAATTGAATAAGGGCTGTTTGGTAACTTCTGAATAGGTAAGTGTTGAACCAGTAAGAGATCTGAACCATTAAGTGCTGAACCAGTAAGAGGTCTGAACCATTAAGAGCTAGTATATTGCTTAACTATTCAGAGACAAATGTCTGATCAATTCAGATAAGAAGTCTTAACCATTCAGACTCTGTATAATACTTAACCATTCAGAGGCAAATGTCTGAACCATTCAGGCATCTGCTCACGAAACAAATAGTCTGAACTATTAAGTGCTAAACCATTCAGACATCTGAACCATTAAGAGACTGAAGCTCTAATAATCTAATATGACGTACCCTTCCCATTTTGCTGTGCCAATTCATGCACGCGTGGATACTACTTCGGCACTTTCTTTATTTCATCTAAAAAAGAAACAATTTTATTTCAAAAGATAAGGTGATTACAAAATTTATAAATATAGGATGAGTTATTTATTTAAATAATACTGAAACATATCTCTTTTATCTAAATAAGATCAGTTTTATCTACCATACTCTAACATTTGGAAATGAAATGTTTTAAAATACCTTACCTTTAAAAAAATGATCGATTACACAATTCAAATACAATAATACATTGTTAAAAATGATTTGAATTTTAGTCATTAAAATAATTAGTCATTATCCAATACTTGTTGTTAAAGACCACATTCGTAGAGTCATTTGTACAGCCAATGAACACATTCACAGGGTCATTCGTATAACCAATCGTTATCCAATACTTCTTGCTAATGTGGGCATACATAGTAGATCATATGAAATTATGTACCATAAAAAGAATAAAACATACTACGTACTTAGTTTTATTCAGAGAAATATGCTATCTTTTAGTTCCATACAGAGCATAGTTTTCATAAATATACTATATTATTTGTGAACCTCTTTACGAGCATTAAGTAATTTTAAATAATTCAAAAGTAAAAAAAAGTATATTAAGTGATGATTAGTTTGTGGCTCTAGCATTTATCATTCAAATCAAATTTCAATATCTTGTTTAAAAATTCAATGGACAATTAATTAGTTTTAAAAACATTATCATTATTCATCATTATAATATTACGGAGCAGATAATTATTGTATTATATAATGCAACAATTTATGATTATGTATGTATGTATGTTATTTATAGTAGTTCGAGATAAGGAGGTACCAAAACGAAAACATGAGCACAAGGGAGACCTTTTCAAAATATAATTATTTTGGAAAAATCTAGAATACCCTTTTTTAAATGCAAAAATCAAGAATACACTTTTGAACATTTTGCTTCATTTATCTCTAAATTTTTTAAAAATTATGTGGATTTACTCTAAATTTTAAAATTTGTACCAATACCTCTTAGACTTTTAAAAATATTGCACCAATAGTCTTTCCGTGCCAGTTTTGGAAAAGCTTTAATTAAACGATTATCAATATACGTGTTGGGCTTTGATGAATATGTCATAGATTGATTAAAAGATTGATCGATTGATGAAGAGGTTGATCGATGATTCTCCGACCTTCGAATTTGGTTAGCGATGACTAAATCAAGAAAAATTATAAATTAAAAGTAGAGAAGATAATGTTTGGGATAAACATATTGCAGGACTCGCGTGTGATATATAACTTTAGATGAACCATGCTTGCGCTAGATGATCGTGTGGTCAATGCACTCCAAATATGGTGTTGAGGGTCTGAGGGACTATTCGTGCAACTTTATTTTTAAATGTTCACGGAGCATTAGTGCAATTTATTAAAGTTTAAGGGAAGTTTGTGTATTTTTTGAAAAGTTCGAGTGTAAATGGTGCAAAAAAATTAAAACTTATACTCCGTACTCTTTAACATGAAGAAACATTAAAAAAATATTAATGTAGAAATATTATTAGAACTGAACTTCGATTGTTTGATTACACATAGATCTGCTATTTATAATAGCTACAAGACTATGACCTAATTACGAGCCCAACAAGAATGAGCTCATTAACGACAAACCCTACAACATTCCTTAACATTCCCCCTCAAGTTGAGCATGAGATTAAGGAATGCACAACTTAGACAATTAAAACAAAACTAAGACTAGAAAAATTGATAAACAACTTGAACTTAATCTGCTGTGACAACAACAAACAAAGGTGACCGGCTCTGCAAACGAACAATAAATTTTGATGACGAATGACTCCCATGCGGTGACACGGGGACGACTAACAAGCATCCCAAACTTGGAGGCCGTGTTGCCGGACTGAGGCGCGACTATGCGACCAACCTCACAAACTGATATGTCGAACTGAGGCGCGACTATGCGACCAACCTCACAAACAAACATGTCGAACATACAGCTGGTTGCACTTGAACATACGAAATAGCAACCAAAAACAATGTCATCAAAACGTCAACAAAACGGCTGGACGAAATACTTAACATGAACCTCTTTGGCACACTGCAAACAAAATCAATATCCACTAAGATTTTTGTTGGATCTGGATGAAACCACATAACCAAAAGATTATGACACCACAACTTGATAATTGCGGCTAGGTGCATATTTTGACAACACCTATTTTGAAACTCTCTTGATGATGGATGTTGGATGACGATTCGGAAAAGTGAGGGCGGACGAACCAGGTTGAGAGGATGGATCTGCTGGGTCGGGACGGATGAACAAAGCTGCGAAGCTGCTAGGAGCCTAGGACGGATGATTCTGCTGGAGGAGCAGATCTGCTTGGACGAAATCTGCTGGACGGGCAAATCTGCTATATCGCTGGAGCAGACAGACGGATCTGCTGGGCGAACGGAACTGCCAGACGGACGGACGGATGGATTTGCTGGAAGGACGGACGGGACTGCCGGGAACTTCTAGGGATGACTGTTGCCGGACGGATGGATCTACTGGACGGAACTTCTGACGGACAACAGCCCGGCGGACGGCTAATGGCGGTGGCGCCGCCCGCCAGGAGCGAACGAAACAATTTTTAGGCCACCAAGAACGTTGGCTCCGATACCATGTAGAAATATTATTAGAACTGAACTTCGATTGTTTGATTACACATAGATCTGCTATTTATAATAGCTACAAGACTATGACCTAATTACGAGCCCAACAAGAATGAGCCCATTAACGACAAACCTTACAACATTCCTTAACAATTAAAATAAATATTTCAATAATGCAAGAAATGGTTATTAACATAGTCTACAATTCACAAACCTAAAAAATTGAATGAAATCAAAGCGTAGAATTAAACTTGAATAAAAGTTTATCTACATATATAGAATCAAACTCAAACAAAAGTTTAACTTACGTACACATAATTAACGTTCCTAAATACCAAATTGATCGTTCAATATGATGCAGCTCAACTTTGTATGGCAATCTTTCAATTTGAAATCTTCAATTTTTTTGAGAATTTTCAGAATCATTTCGATACCTTCTCACCTCTATCAATAAGTATAACCATTAAAGTTTAGGATACAATTTCAAGTGAAATTGCCTTTCAACATTGACATTGATAGATGCCACCGAAAACCATTTTTCATTAATTTCTCTCTAACTTTAATGTAGTGTGCACTTAATTAATTTGATTTTTTTGAAACTAGAAACATTTTAAGCATAACATTACCCATATAAAGCATACTCCTTAATTATTTGAAAATTAAAGGTGAAATAGACTGAAAGAGTTATGTTGAGGACGAAAAATAATACTCCGTATAAATCATATTCATTTAATACTTAATAGTTGCGAAACAACATTACCATTGCAATTGAGGTTTCGGAAAAATTGAGCCAGGAAAAAAGGTTTTTATACCTCGAATGAATTTGAACCTCAATAATCTTATGTTTTGCTTAGACTATAAATAGAAGTCAAGGTCAAATATCGTCTTTTGTTGTACTCCTTCCGTCCGGAAATATTCTTCCCACTTTCCTTTTTGGTCCATCCGGAAATATTCTTCCCATTTCCTTTTATAGTATACTCCCTCCGTCCCCCTGTATTTGTCCACTTTCATTTTTGCACACCATCCAATGCATTTTTTTAATCCATTTTATCTTGTAATTTATATATTAAAAAATTATAAAAATTATATATTAATAATCTATATGTTAAGACAAATCAAACAAGATCACACATGACTATATTTTGGCTTACACATTGAGAGAATTTGATGAGTCAAAGTGCTTAGATGAACAGTTCCAAAAGTCAAATGTGGACAAATACAGGGGGACGAAGGGAGTACTATTTAAGGATAAATATCAATAATACCCTTCTATTTTATCACAAATCTACTTTTTTAATAATAAAAGGAGATTTAAAAGTTTATAGTATGTGCATTTTTGAAAATTTTGCATTTTTTTACTATTTCTTAATAAGCGTGCCAAGTCAACACGGGAAGAATATTTTCGGACGGAGGGAGTATTATTTTTAACTATTTTGGTATTTATGCATAATCAGCTTGATGTTACTGTTTTACGAATGAAGACAAAGACACGATTAAAAATATTAGTTCTAGATGTCAATGAAAATACTTAATTACAACCATCCAAAACATGTTGTTTACCCTAAAGTCTTTCGAAAAAATTGGAATTATTGCCCATTGATTAAAAAACGTGTTAGAAATATATTTATTTGATTCTGGAAAAATTTATTGCATTGAAAAAAATTTAGATTTGACAAAAATTTTGTTTGACTCCGTGCATCACACGGGTCAAAATACTTGTTATTTAAAAATTAAAGGTGAAATAGACCGACAAAGAGTTATGCTGAGGACAAGAAAATAAAATAAATCGTGGGGGCGGTTCCAATGACATTGCCCGACAATGTTATGGATGACTCGGGGGTGCTCTGGTGCCACGTTCGTAAAATTAACGGTTCCTACCCCACCTAACCCCCCACCCACCCCGACCCGAACACACACCCCCCACCCCCCCCCCCCCTTCAATTGCACCCCATAAATTAATTTTGATTTTAGAATCAAATTATTTTACGGGCGGGGTACCATAGCATCCCGTGTCATCCCATGACATGAGATCCTATGACAACCTCACTGTTTTACGGAGTAATTATTTTTGTAAAACAAATGAAAGCTTATTTTGTACTCCTTTCATCCAGTTTAAGATTCCCAATATGACTAAAGTCAATGTTTTAAAATATATACTACAAATTACAAAAAAAAAATACGAGTATCAAATTATATACACACACACACACACATTCGAGTATAAGTTTAATATCAATAAGTTCATTTTGTAATAATATACTCCCTCCGTCCATAAATAAACTTCCCGTTGCGCGTTACGATGTTTGACTGAATTTATTTTTGAATCATTTTATATAAAAAATGGTGTAAAATTTAAAAATAAATTTTACATATTAAAAAATCATATCAAAAGATCTACTCCGTACAAAACTAAAGGTGACATGACTATATTATTTTTATCAAATGAGTGACGAAAATAGGTTAACAAAGTGAATAAAGTTTGACCCGGTGAATAGTGAATAGGAAGTTTATTTGTGGACGGAGGGAGTAGTTTTATAATATTATTTTTTTGCAATATATATTTGGTTGTAAAAGTATAAATTAGTGAAATTTACAGTGAATAGGACTAAAACATAAGTCACTTCCCAATGTAGAACTTAAACTTTTTTATTCCTTAAATAAGACTTAATAATGGCTACTGAGAAGAATAATGTCCAAGTGATGCAGGACATTTAGTTGAATAATGACTAATAGATAATGACCAATGGTCCTACATTGAGAAATAAAAACTAATGGTTCTATATTGAGAAAGTCATTATGTTTTAGTCCTATAAATTATTAATGATCAAAATATTGTATTCAAGACCATTAAAATAATAATGAAATGAATTTTTTTCTACGGAAATTCTATTTTGTATTGGTGAAGAATAATTCACTGCACGTTGTTTCAAAATTCAAATATAAACCCAATTTTGGAGGATAAAGAATAGTTACTCCGTCCACAAATAAATTTTACATTACATGTTACGATGTTTGACTTAAGTTATTTTCAAATCATTTTATATGGAAAATGGTGTAGAATTGAAAAATAAAAATCAGATATTAAAAAACTATATCAAAAGATCTACAAAACTAGAGGTGACATACCTATATTATTTTATCAAATGGGTGATAAAAATAGGCCAACAAAGTGAATAAAGTTTGATTATGTGAATAATGAGTGTAAAATTTATTTGTTGAGGGATGAAGTAAATATTTTACCGTCATCAGAGTCAAATGTTGTGAATTTTGACCAAAGGACATGAGAGAAGAGCACTATAAATAAGCTTTAGATGGTTCACTTGCTCTCATCGAAACAAATTCCAATGAAACCATCAGAATTAACGCTACCTTTCTTCACGATGATTTTGCTATTGTTACTGCAGGCGTCTCCCGGTGTCCCCTCCTCCGCTGCCACGGCGGCGGGCAAGTGGGACATGCTGCGGTCCAGCATCGGCATCTCCGCCATGCACATGCAGCTCCTTCACAACGACCGGGTTGTCATATTCGACCGGACCGAATTCGGCCGCTCAAACATCTCCTTGCCGGACGCCAAATGCGCCCAAATGGAAGCTGCCGCCGGAAACGGCGAAAGGATCGACTGCACGGCTCACTCCGTCGAGTACGACGTTGCCGCCAACTCCGTGCGTCCCCTCATGGTCCTCACCGACTTCTGGTGCTCCTCCGGCTCTGTTTCTCCCGACGGCGTTCTCGTCCAGACCGGCGGGAACAAATCCGGCGAACTCGCCGTCAGAATTTTTGCTCCTTGCGACGACAATAAATGCGACTGGCGAGAAATCCGAAACGGATTACTCCGCCCGCGGTGGTACGCGACTAACCACATATTACCAGACGGCGGTCAAATCATAGTCGGCGGCCGGAATGAGTTTAATTACGAGTTTTATCCTCCCCGGAGCCGCCAGCCGTACAGTCTGCCGTTTCTAAAGGAAACTCATGATGCAAAGAATCGTGAGAACAATCTTTATCCGTTTGTTCTGCTAAACGTCGACGGGAATTTGTTCATTTTCGCAAATAACAGATCAATCTTGTTAAATTACCGAAACAACACCGTGGTCCGAACGTACCCGGAAATTCCAACCGGGGACCCGAGGTGTTACCCGAGCACAGGCTCCGCGGTTCTTCTCCCGTTAAAGAATTTACCAGATCCGGCGACGGTCTCGGCGGAGGTATTGGTCTGCGGCGGCGCGAAAGCGGCGGCTTATTCGAACTCGAAACACGGAAGGTTTCTCACGGCGCTGAACACTTGTGGTCGGATCACCATATCCGACCCGAATCCAGTCTGGGTCATGGAAACCATGCCCGTGCCCCGTTTGATGGGGGACATGGTCATGCTGCCCAATGGAAAAGTTCTGATCATAAACGGAGCGTCGTCCGGGTCCGCCGGTTGGGAGCAGGGGAGAGACCCGGTTTTCACCCCGGTTCTTTACCGACCCGAAAACGAAATCGGGTCCCGATTCGTTTTACAAACTCCGAGCAAAAGACCCAGAATGTACCATTCCACGGCGATCCTGCTCCGGGACGGAAGAGTTCTCGTCGGCGGAAACAACCCGCACGATAAGTACAATTTCACGACAAATCTTTTCCCGACGGATTTAAGCCTAGAGGCGTTTTCGCCGGCGTATTTGGATCCGGGTTTCGCCGACCTGCGCCCGCGGATCATTTCGCCCGCTCCGTTTTCAAAATTTGGTTATGGAAAACCGGTCACGGTTCAGTTCACGCTGACCGGGCCGATAGAGATAGATTCGGTCGGGGTCACCATGGTCGCACCATCATTCGCGACCCATTCGTTTTCGATGAACCAAAGGCTGCTGGTTCTTGGCAGTGGGTATCGGGTTGAATCCGTGGACGCGCCCGGAGGAAATTGGTACAAAATGGAAGTGATTATGCCGGGTTCGGGTAATCTTGCCCCGCCCGGATATTATCTTCTTTTCGTTGTTCACAAGGACATACCGTGTGAGGGCATTTGGGTTCAGATCCGAGAACAGAGTTATTAGGGTATTCGGGCTGGCGGGTTATCCGGATTAGTAATCTTATAAATATTTTGTTGTAAAATTTATTGAAATTCTTGTGCAAGTTTTGTTCGAGTCTTATTAATTAATGCAAGCTAGTCTCTTAAATTCGTGTGTATTTAGTCTTGATAAATAAATATCTATCCAATTAAGGTCTCTCATGTAAATCTTTTTTATCTAAATCGAGTTCAATTTAATATTTAATAACTTGAATCTAATCGAATGATATTAAACAGGGTTGGAGAGCGAATAATTATATGCAAGAATTTTTTTTTACAAAACTTAATCTATACCCCGTATTTCACAAATGAAAAAAACAAATATTATTTCAAATGTTTGTCAGTGTTTTTAAATTCATCAACAAAAATAATAAAATTTGAATAAAAGTATAAATTGCACATAATAAACTTGAATCAAATTTGAAAAACAAAGACTAAATTAGGAATAAATATATAAAATATATCAAAATAAGATTTTTATGTTTTTATTCTCAAAATAAGAGTTAACATGTATATACAATGTCAATCATGACAATATAGAATACTAAGAAAATATTGTGAAATGTTCATAAACAGTGTCACATTATCACATTGAAAAAACCTATAATAACATGATGCCCATATTTTCGTTCTTATGTTTTACTCTTATTTTAGATAATTTATTATCATATTTTCAAAATAAATTTATTACTTAATGAAAAACTATAAAAGCATTGTCATATTTTAAAATATATTAATATATATGTTTGGTTCGGAATTTTTGGTATGAGAAATTAGCTCGTACAGTTTCCAAATCCCAAACAAATTGTTCGATTCGGTTTGTTTTTCTGCGGTACTTTTTTTGTTCGGTGTTTTTCAATTCGAAATTCTCGACTTTTCCATAAAATTTTGGAATTACTTTGATACTTACTCACCCCATATTATTTGTTTTACAAAAGAATTAAAAAGTTAATCATGTATAGAGCATTTAGAGGTTAAGATGACCAAAACTATTTAAAACAATTTAATACTTGTAATGGTCCGGATATAATTTTTCTCATTTGAGTTTTCACGATCTCCAATTTAATTCTTTAACTATTAATATCAATATTTATACATTAATATATTTTGTAAAATTTTAATATTTCAAAATCATGTTATAAAAGAAAATTATTAATATTAAATTTATATCAAAACATACTACTCCCTCTATCTCTAAATAAACTTCCCCTTTCGTTTTTTCTTTGTCCCCAAATAAACTTCCCTTTTCCCTTAAAAAACCCCTTACTTTTTCATACCCTACCTATCACATCATACTTTTTTACTAATAATCTACATATCACATCTTACTTTTACACATCACATCAAGAGTATTTTTGGAAAGTCAACACAAAAATATTTCTCCCTTAAATCCTCAAAAAGTCAAAAAAAGAAGTTTATTTAACTAACACGAAGGTATTAATTTTTATTTGGTGAAACTATGTCATTTATGGATAATTTTGCCCCCAACAGCTCAAAAGAAAGTTACCCGCGTGGCTGTATTCCAATTTCTGTAATGGCAAGGCCTAGGCAAACATCCTATAATTAAAACTTACTAAATTGAGTTGATTTTTAGCATTTTTCGTACAAAGAGCCTCTTTTTTGCAAAAGAATTGAATTTTCAAAATTCTAACCTAAGTGCACAAAGTACATACACATAGCTGAGTACATAACATCAACAAATATATGAATAATTAATACAATATAAATTTTTTTTATTATATCAACCAGATCGGTTCAAATGGATAGCGTTTCGTTAAGGATGAAATTTCTTATAGGTCAAGAGGTTACCAAATAAAAATTATCTGTACAAGCAAAACAAATTGAACAAGCAAACATACTAAAAGGATGCTACAACACTAAGCACAAGCACCTATGAGAGAGTACTATATCGTCTTTTCTATCACAAGCAGTATACTACTCCCTTCGTCCTAAAATTAACTTTCCATTTGATTTTTCACGGTCTCCAATGCGACACTTTGACGATCAAAGTGAACTATGTTTCAAAATGAATCTATTGCTAATAAATTTATACGAAAAATCAAATGGGAAGTTAATTTTAGTCATTGATATTCCACGGTCTCCAATAGTGTCCAATAAATTTATATGAAAAATCCAATGCGACACTTTGACTATCAATGGTCTCCAATGCGACACTTTGACTATCAATGGTCTCCAATGCGACACTTTGACTATCACAAGCAGTATACTACTCCCTCTCAGTATATATTCATTTTTCGAAACTATGTTTCAAAATTAATCTATTGCTAATAAATTTATATGAAAAGTCAATGTATTTTTTCTGTAATATACGATCAAAGTTTAAAAAAATTTGACGACAAAAGTCAAAATGAGAAGTTAATTTTAGAACGGAGGGAGTACATAGTTATTTACGCACTTAAAACAAATTTTCCTATGGGGGTCTCATGCCCATGTCACAGTCCTCATACAGTGTGTAATTTTCCTTGGTGTGTTGTTATTGATATGAAATATTTGCGCTAAATAGCACTAAAACTTAAGTCATTTCTCTAAATAGCATTTAAATTGTTTTATTTCCTAAATAGCACTTAATAATGTCCATAATGACCAGTGATGTCGAACATTTACTTGAATAATGACTAAAAATGCTACATTGAGAAAAACAACACATGCAGTGCCATTTAGGGAAAATCATTATTTTTTAGTGCTATTTACGTAAATTTCTTTTTAATAAATAGGTCGAGAACAACTAGGAGACAAATTGAAGCCGATGTTAAATGTACATTATTATTTATTCTGTTCTGCGGAATTGATGAAATTTCATACTGGATCAAACCTTGATAACAAATACGGACATGTTTGAGCTTCTGCTAATGCTTGGTTTCCAGAAAGTAAAAATACTTCTAAGTTGTGACATAGTGGAAATCAATGTTTTGGTGTTTATAATTATTGTGCTTTTGCAACAATTGGTTTGTTGCAATGTGTTGGGTTGTCTTTGCTATGTTCCCAATTAGAATTTGTATATGATTATTTAGGCCCCATCTCGTACACGGAATTCAAATTATGGAATTGGAATTGAGGACTTTAATTTCAATTCTCGTGTTTGGTAGCACAAAAATTATGTGGATTTGGAATTGGTAGTGCAAAAAATGAATTGGAATTGGTGAATTCAATTCTATGGAATTTAATCCCATAAAATTTTAATTTCAATTCCAATTTCATCAATTTCGTGTATCAAACGGACCCTTAATTTATTCAAGGATGGGTGGAAAAACGGTCCGGTTCCAGTGACACCGGAAAACGGTGCCACTCCGGTGTCACTGTGTTTTTGGGGCACCTCCGGTGCTCCGTTCGTAAAATTGACGGTTCCTACCCCCCTAACCCACCCCCTAAACCCCCCCACCTACCCNATTATGCAATAAACCCAGTGGCACCGCTAGTGGCACCGTTCTCCGGTGTCACTAGAACCGGGCCGATGGAAAAAATATAGTTGGTATGTTATTGTGTAGGTCAAATTAGCTACTCACATATTACATTCATTCATAAATATGTGTCTAGTTTTGATTTTTTTTCAACAAAAATTTACAAACTTTGAATATTAATTAAATAAAATTGATACGGAATACTGGATATTCATACAAAAAATATTTTTATTAGATATTCATACAAAAATATATAGAGTATATATTCTGTATAAATCACCTAGGTTCCTTGGATACCGAATTTGGATGTCATTTATGATACTCATATATCAAATAAACTAGTATTTTATTGTGAAATTTGCACTAAATAGTACTAAGATATCTGCCTTTTTTAATGTATTATCTTAAACTTTTTTATTCCCTAAATAGTACGGAGCACTTAATTATAAACATTGATCAGGAACAATATCCAGTGGCAGTAGACATTGAACAGTAGTGGCGGTGGACATTGAACAACGGCAGCGGTGAACATTGAGCAGTGGTGGCGGTGGACATTGAATAGTGGTGGCGGTGGACATTGAACATCGGTGGCGGTGGACATTCAACAGTTGTATTAATTAAATACTTCATCCGTCCCAAAAACTCGCCCCCTTTCTTTTTTTCTTGTCCCACAAAACCTTTTCATTTTCTACTAAAAAATTACTTTTATTGCTACTAATTCCAGAAAATTACTCACGGGTGACACGAATTTTGTTCAAATAACTCTCAGGTCCCTCTATTTTCAAGAAGACAACAGAGGTCCTTACATTTTGTTGTAATAACTGGAAGGAGACATTTCATCCAATATTTCATCTATAAACGTTAATAAATGTATTTTTTCGTATTCTTTTCTAAATGTTTTAAGTAATAAATCTTAAGTCGCTTCTTTTTTATTTCTTTTTTTCTTTCATTTTGTTACTATTTTTTAAAGTGTTATTTTAGAATTTCTTCTATAAAATCGTATAAAAATTCAAAATTGTTTGTATTATATTAAAACAAATGAAATAAAAAAATTTAAAAAAAGAAAAAACAAGGTAATGGCAAAATAGGAAAAAACGGTATTGGAAAAATAGGAAAAAAAAATACATTTATTAACACTTACGGATGATGTATTGGATGAAATGTCCCCTCTCAGTCATTACAACAAAATATAAGGACCTCGGTTGTCTTTTTGAAAATAGAAGGACCTGAAAGTTATTTCGAAAAAACTCGCGTCACCCGCGAGTAATTTTCTGCTACTAATTCTTAACCTACTTATCACATCCCCTATCATACATATTTACTAATAATATACATATTACATATTACTTTTATCCATCACATTAAGGGCATTTTTAGAAAATTAACACAAAAAAATCACTCCCTTAAATTTTCAAAAAGTTAAAACAGTAACATCTTTATGAGACGGAAAAATTAAAATATATGGTATTACATTGAAAATTTAACTGTGTTTTAATACGGAGTAGTATATAGATGAATTTCGGTATCTAAGAGCATAGACAATGACAAGTCGTGTCCTGGAATGCCACACGGTGATGTGGCTCCACATAACCAATCAAATGATGCATAGTCACACAATGTCATTCCATTAGAGTAGCATGCCCTACAATGACAAGTAATGTTTATTTGTCAATTTTATCATTTTGACATAATTTAATTAGTTCATGTGTTTTATTTTTCATTTTTTAATACATTTTTTATTTTCTTGTAAAGATTTTAATTGTATAGAGAAGACATTATTTTTTAAAAATTAGTTTAATTATCTACTTAAATTGTACGGAGTATAATCTAGGATTAAAACACTAGTTTTAAAAATATGTATTTTTAGTTTTAGAAAATATCTTAAAATGTTTTATAAAAGAAAATAGACTGAAATGAAAAAAAAACAACATAGATAATTAAAAAAATGAATTGGTATTTTTGTTTAAAAAAGGGTTAGTTTTTTTTTAGAGCAATTTTTTTATTTTTATTTGTGTAATTTTTTTTATTTTTATTTGTGTAATTTTTTTTTATTTTTATTTGTGTAATTTTTTTTAGTCTCTTGCCTTTTTTTGTGGTTATGGAGGGGGTGGGGGACAAATGGGGTACACCAAATTGGTGTACCCCTAGCATTTTTCTTTTTTTTTAAGTTGGATTTGGAAAGAAGAAAAAGAAGTTAGGCAAAACACATGCAACAAAAAAAGAAAGATTAGCTACAGAGGTGGCATGCAAAAAATCGAAAAAAAGAAGAAAAAAAAACAAGGATTCAGTCCAATCAGTAGCATGCACTGTTCCGCTCATTTCTCCTCGCACAAGCCACGCATATAGTGGTGCCTCGCCCCATTTCATTGCTTCTCCCATTGTATTATCTTCCACTCCACTAATGGCAGGGCAAGGCAACTCATATGCTCTAATTAAGATATTCGTTTGCAAAATTTGCCAGTTGTATTCCTTCCTATAAGTAAATGGTTAAATTCTTTTATGTATCCACTTCCATTTTCTTGAATTTAGTTCAGTTTAAGAATATATTTGTTAGTTTGGTTATACTTTCCAAAATGATGTTGGATAGTGGATTAGTGGGTCAAAAAAAGTGGTCAGATACGAGATTCAATCTTGTTTGTTTGATTTTAGAAAAAAAGATAACGTTAGTGTTTCCTTGATTATGTATGTGAAACTAATATTTTCTTCGTCTCTAAAAGATTGCGATAATTTGATATTTTTCGGTCAAAATGACATCTTTTAATCACAAATTGTAGAAAAATATATTTACTTATTACTACCTCCGTCCCAGTGTATTTGTCCAGTTTGAACTTTTCGAGTCAAACTAGACAAACTTTGAACTCCAATTACTCTCAATTTATATTGCATATGAGCATAATGAAATACAATTTTGAAAGTTCTCAATACGGTAAATCCAATAAAGTCATTTTTATACTAAAATACATTACAGTTTTTATTTAATTGATGCTCAAAGTTTGTCTAGTTTGACTCAAAAAAAGTCAAACTGGACAAATAAATTGGGAACGGAGGAAATATATAAATTTAGTAAAATTAGGTTTATTTTAAAATATAATTTTAAAATATCAATTTTTTAAATATTTAATTATTTTAAAGTATATTTAATTTGTAGACTCATGATAAAAAAATGTCATAGTTTGACCCAAAAAGTCAAACTGTGGCAATCTTTTAAAGACGAATGTAGTTTAAAGTAGTTTAAATATGTTCAAAGTAAAACATGAGTATATAGACAAACACACACATATACATACATAATGAACTAAAATTATTAAAGTAGGGATGAAGTATAATTATCTATCCGTAACGAATCAAAATTTTCAGACTAAATATGTTTTTATCTCTGTAAAATTAGCAATTTTTTTTAACTTTTGCAAAAAAATTAATAAAATCATCCATAAAAAAGTTTGTCTAAAAAATAGTCATCCCCTAGATTTAAATCTTGGACGGTCTACGTTTTGATCCCTCTAAAACTTATCAATTTTGTATTAAATCCTACTACCTCCGTCCCGTAAATCATGAGACATTTGCTTTTTAGGAGGGATTTAAGGGAGTGTATTTTGGTATTGAATTTCCAAAAATGTCCTTTGATGTGATGGGTAAAAGTATGATTTGATGGATAGATTATTAGTAAAAATGTATGATGTGATAGTTAGGGTATGAAAAAGTAAGGGGTAAAAGTGACTTTTTAATAGAAATGAGAAGTGTTTTGTGGGACGGATAAAAAAAGAAAGGGAAAAGGTTTCACGGGACAGAGGGAGTATATTTTTTTGCTTCATTTATCTCTCAATGATCGTCCGGTCAGGGACGAAGAAACCCTCGTGAATGGGGCTCATTCTTTAGGAGTAAGAATAAATATGTAATTAAATTGATGGAACTATCTGCGTAAAATTAATAAAAACAACTCGTAAGATTAGCATTGTTAACAAATAAATTAAACAAGAATTGATTCAAGTCAATTCAAAAAATAATACCCCCGAGTAGCAAATACGAAACACTCTTAATATTTCATTAAAATTTTATTTTAGTATGCGAAATTAGAATAGTTTTAAAGAGTGAAAATAGATTTATTTTTGCTTTTACAGAGGATAGTTTTAAACATCATCCATCATGCCATCCCTGTTAACATATGGCCCCACACACTAAACTATAATGTATTTATTCATCAACTACTTCACCTGAGTTGTTGTTGTTGTTGTTTATCAACTACTCCATCCTTTTCACAAAACTCTTCTTCTTTCGTTTTTTTTTTGTTTTCCACAAAACACTTCCACTTTCTATTAAAAAACCACTTTTACCCCTACTTTTTCATAACCTACCTATCACATCATACTTTTTCACTAATAACCAAACTATCACATCTTACTTTTTCCTAACACATCAGGGGCAAAATTGGAAAGTCAACTAAAATTTCACTTTCCTTATTTTTTCCCCAAAGTTAAAACCGGAAGGGTTTTGTGGAACGGAGGAAGTATATTACAATAAAATATTAATTAATATAATCACTAAATTATTTTTTCTATCAATTATTTTTTATAATTTAATTACTCCGTATAAATTTAAATTTTTCCATATTTGAAAAAGTAAGTTTTATTAAGTAGTTTTTATGTTATTGAATTTATATTTATATTAAATTGTGGTAATTTTTTCTCTAATTCGATTCTTCTAAATATAAATCTATAATTTCTAAATATTCCATTCAACTTTTTTTAAATTTTTTATTTATCAAGTATTTTATAATAAATATTTAATATAATTTTATAAAATAATATAGAGTATGAAATATTTAGAATAATAAATAAAGTAAAGTATAATTTATAGATTTTAGAATAATATAAGTCGGATCCATAAATAATTAAATTGAATGATTGGATGAATTAATTAGTACCGAGTATAATACTCTCCCTTTGAGAATGTTTTTTTCTTGTTGGCTTGACACACTTATTAAAAAGTAGTAAAAATGCCAAAATGTCAAAAATGCACATACTATAAATATTTAAATTTCCTTTTCTTATCAAAAAACAATAAAAAAAAGTATATTATTAGTGATAATATAGAATGATATTATTGAAATTCATCTTTAAAAAGTATATTAAAATAAGAAATGAGAAAAAAATTTCAGACAAATCAAAAAAGAAAGTAGAAAGAACATTTCCGGACGGAAATTAAATGGAGATGCTTTTAATCCTCTTATAGATTTTAAACTACTTGTTAAAGTACAAACAATGATTTTATTTTATTGTCTCACGTTAACCTACCTATTTGGAATTTAATCAGTGTCGTTCCTGATATTTAATAGAGTAATTTAGCTAAATAGAACTAAAATATAATGACTTTCTCAGGATTATATGTTTTTATTTCTCAATGTAAGACCATTGATCATTATCTATTAGTCATTATTCAACTAAATGTCCAGCATCACTTTTACATTATTCTTCTCACTAGTCATTATTAAGTCTTATTTAGGAAATAAAAAAGTTTAAGTCCTACATTGGAAAATGACTTATGTTTTAATCCTATTCATTGCAAATTTCACTATTTAATACTCCCTCCCTTCTTTTTAAATATTCGCATGTTGACTTTTTACAATTTCAATACATGCTACACTTTAACAATTAATGTCTTTATTTATAGATAATAATATATTATTAAAATGTAATATTTCAAAACTGTAGTTCAAAATTAACGATATTGAATTTATAACATAATTTCATATATTTTCCACAAGTTAATCACATTTTAAAAAGTCGACCATGAAAGTCAAACTAAGAAGATTCATAAAGTGGGAATACTCTCTTTATTTCGCAAAAGAGTTCCCTTTTTTATTTTTGACAAATTTAAGGAGTGTAATTGGTTTTTATCCATCGAGATATCTAAAATATAGAATATAATATACGATAATAAATTTAATTTAATAAGTATAAATAGTACGATGAACACACGATATTTATGTAGAAATGTAAATTGAAAGAAAACCATATACTTTTTAAATTTTGCAGCTAGTACCATGCCAAAAGGATATTTTATTTTAAATCGAAAGTTATTTATGTTGTATGTAGGCCTGACAACCATTGATGGAACTTTGTAAAATTTTAGAGTAAAACTGATCTGATTTTATTAATCACAAGCAAGCGTATATATACACATAAAGCGGGCTAGGTTAGCAAGTGGGCCCGATAAACTATTTACAGTCCAAAATTACAAGTGTCCGCTAACACTCCCCCTCAAGTTGGCGCATGAAGATCCTGAATGCCCAACTTGCATAACAGAAAATCAAAACTAGGTTTCGCTAGAGGTTTGGTAAATATATCAGCTAACTGGTATCTCGTTGGAACATATCTTGTCGAGACCTCATGCCGCTGGACACTTTCTCGAACAGTGTGACAATCAACATCCACGTGCTTCATTCGCTCATGAAAAACAGGATTAGTTGCAATATATAACGCTGACTGATTGTCACAATACAATCTGGGAGGATATAATATAGGCACGCCCAAAGCAATGAGAATCCCTCGCATCCAACGAATCTCCACACAAGCATTTGCCATAGCCCTGTACTCTGCCTCTGCAGAAGATCGAGAAACAGTAGTTTGTTTCTTTGTTTTCCATGATACTGGAGAGGTACCCAACATGATAAAGTATCCGCTAACAGAACGACGGGATAATGGGCAGCTAGCCCAATCGGAGTCACAATACGCCGAGATTTGGAAATTACTGGTGGCGCTCAGAAATATACCTTGGCCCGGATGACCCTTGATGTAACGAAGGACACGCATGGCGGCATTCATGTGGTCAAGAGTAGGCGCCTGCATAAATTGAGATAAAACATGGACAGAATAGCAAATATCCGGTCGAGTGATAGTAAGATAAATCAGACGCCCCACAATGCGACGGTACCGCGCGGGGTCGTGGAGAACAGCCGCCGTTGACCTTCCAAGGCTGTGCGTCGTAGGTAGCGGCGTATCAGCGGGTTTGCATCCCAAAAGGCCGGCCTCCTGCAAGATTTCTAACGCATATTTGCGTTGACACAGAACCATGCCCGAAGCAGAACGAGCACATTCAATGCCCAAAAAATATTTAACTGGGCCTAAATCCTTCAGCTGAAAACATTTGTCCAAATACCGCTTAAAAGAAGTGCATAATGAAGAATTATTGCCTGCAACCAGAATATCATCAACATAAACCAGCACGGTGAGAATATCCAGGCCGTGACGAAGAATAAAGAGAGTATGATCTTTATGGGCCTGTTTAAAACCCCACTGGCGAAGAGCAGTACTGAGTTTATGGAACCAGTTGCGAGGTGATTGGCGTAGCCCATACAATGATTTCCGCAGGCGGCATACCTTCCCGGGTATGGAAAAACCGGGAGGCATGCGCATATAGACTTCCTCAATAAGATCACCATTCAGAAAAACATTATTAACATCAAGTTGATGAATCTCCCAACCGCGTGCTACAGCAACAGATAGTAAAATACGTACCGTCCCCATTTTGGCCACGGGAGCAAACGTATATGTATAATCTGTCCCGAATTCCTGATGATTTCCCAAAACCACAAGCCTAGCTTTATCACGTTCCTTCGTACCATCAGAGTGAAACTTCGTACGGTAAACCCATTGACATCCAAGAGCCGTCCGATCCTGGGGTAGGTCAGTGACTTCCCACGTATGGTTATTTTCCAAGGCTGTAATCTCCAGTTGCATTGCATGTCTCCAATTTGCATGTTGCATGGCCTGTTTGAATGATGTAGGGACTTCGCAAGAACTCACGGCAGCTAGAAATCCGCGGTACCTGCCATGTAATTTCTCATAATGAACAAAATTGTGGATAGGATATCGAGTACCTGAAGACTTGGACAAAACAATGCGAGTGGCAACGGGAGTAGATGTCTGGGCGGTGTGGCAATAGTAATCTGATAGCTTGGCAGGGGGTCTCCGATCACGGGTAGGACGGGTGGGCAACGGCGGACTGTCCGGGGCAGACTCGCCGTCGCTATCGGGTACGGGTGGGGACTGCCCGGAAACAACTGGGACGGATGCCGGCGATGTTGGCTGATCGGCGGCAGACACAGGTTGGACGGTGGGGAAGTCTGCGTGGGCTGACCGGGAAGAATCCTCGGGGGCCGAGGTCGGCGTGGTGGACAATGCAAACGGGAAAACTGTTTCATCAAAAGAAATGTCACGAGCATGAAAAAATCGGTGAGATTCAAGATCATATACACGCCAACCCTTAGTTCCCGTAGGGTATCCCACAAACATACATTTAAGGCTACGGGGGTGAAATTTATTTGGTGGACGTGGGGTAAGGCGAACATAACATAAACAACCAAATACCCGAAGATGAGACAAGTCTGGAGGTTTTGAAGAAAGTAATTCAAATGGTGATTTTCCCTGTAACAAAGGAGTGGGGGTTCGATTTATAAGGTACACAGCAGTACGTACGCACTCCCCCCAAAACTCAAGAGGCAAGGAGGCCTGAAACATTAGTGAACGAGCCACATTAAGAATATGTCTGTGTTTGTGTTCCACACGCCCATTTTGTTGCGGGGTGTGAACACAAGAAGTTTGAACAAGAACCCCCATACCGGTATAAAACTGACGCAAAGGTTTATTCACAAACTCAGTGCCATTGTCAGTGCGAACAATTTTTATAACTTTCCCAAATTGAGTTTGAATCATTTGAAAAAATTGTTGCAGACAGCTGGTAACCTCTGTTTTGTCAATAATGAGGAAAACCCAAACAGCACGAGAATAATCATCAACAATGGTGAGAAAATAATGGGAACCAGTAGACAAACACGGAGAATAGGGACCCCATAAATCACAATGAATTAAATCAAACAATGCATTAGCTTTATTAGTACTCTGGGAGAAACTAGATCGAGTTTGTTTGGAAAAGAAACAAATATCACATGACTGAAAATTTTTAAGTTCAGCAGCGCTTTTATTGAACGGAGGTAAAGATAAAACTTGGGGTGATGGGTGACCAAGACGCTGATGCAACAGGGATACGGATTCAGCTGTGGACGCTTGGGCGGAAGAAGAAAAGACATAAACTCCGTTGTGCACTTCACATCGTCCAATCTGCGTCTTCGAAGTTCGGTCCTGTATCACACAAAAATGGTCATCAAAGAAAACATGGCAATTAAGAGAGTTGACAAGACAACTCACAGAAATCAAGTTGCATTTTAAATTCGGCACATAGAGCACATTATTTAAAACCAAAGTCGAAGAAAGGTGCACCCGTCCACACGAGTTTGCCACAACTCGTGCTCCGTCAGGCAAACTAATTGTGCAAGGAGCCACAGGTTTAATGTCCGTCAAATAAGACACTACTCCTATCATATGGTGAGAAGCCCCACTGTCGATTAGCCAGTCACTCGAAGTAGGACGAAACATACCTTGTAACTTATCACTATTTGAAGGGGATGCTTCTAGCATGGAGAAAAGACGAGCGACTTGATCGGGGGATAAAGCAGAGAGGGAGGGGGGTGCTTCGGCTGCTGCATTGGCTGACGGGCCTGCCGTACCCCCGTGCTGCCCCACGGCAGTAGGTGCCGGCAGTGCTGCTGTTCGGCCGCCCCTGTTGCCGCGACCTCCCCCTCGGGTAGGCGATTGGCGGCCACGTCCTCTGCTCGAGTTCGGAAATCCAATAATCATATAACATCTATCAACGGTATGCCCCGATTTGCCACAATGAGTGCATTGATACCCGTTTGAGTTTGTTCGTGTTGTAGCAAACGCCATGGCATCCGTGTGGTCATCCCTAGCACGAACAACGTTTTTATGTCGTTCTTCTTGGGTGATCAAATAGAACGCCTTATTAAGATCCACCAAAGGTTGGGTTCCAAGAATTTGGCCGCGTATACTACCGAACTGTTCGTCGTCTAACCCCAAAAGAAACTTTCGAGTTTTTGATTTTTCAGCTCGATCCTTCAACTGTGCTGCCGCCTCACACTTGCATCCGCATGTTGGATCATCCATCCCATACAACTTGTTCCAAACAGTGACAAATTGGTTGTAATACACAACCACTGTTTGACCTTTCTGACGGAGATTTTGCAATTCATTCTCCAACTGATAGATGTGAGGCTCATTAACAGTGCTATAACGAGCTTTCAGATCTGTCCATAATTCATGAACCACAGTATGGGAAGCAATACTGGGTTGAATTGTTTCATCAACGCTGTTAAAAATCCAACTACAAATTGTTGAATTATTTGCTTCCCAAGCTTCAAGTTCCATGGGATCTGTAGGCTTAGGCATACCAACAGAGGACAGAAAACCAGCCTTGCTACGACCCTTCAAAGCATTAACAATAGTCTTTTCCCACGTATCAAAATTATCGCCTTTCAAAACATGTTTCGTGAGAGCGTTACCTGGGCCCTCGGAAGGATGAAGATAATACTCGGACGAAGAATCATGAATCAATCGGGTTTTCTTTGTGGTGGATGTCATTACGGATCTTCAAAGCTTGACACAAAAAGGACCAAACCGAGACAACTTATCGGTCGCCGTGCAGCGCTCCGCGAAGAACCGTTACCAAACGCCGAACAAAGATCGCCGGTGATAGAGGCGATCGGCGTCAGCGGAGAATCAGACGTATCGTGCCCTCGGATTTGGCTCCGATACCATGTAAAATTTTAGAGTAAAACTGATCTGATTTTATTAATCACAAGCAAGCGTATATATACACATAAAGCGGGCTAGGTTAACAAGTGGGTCCGATAAACTATTTACAGTCCAAAATTACAAGTGTCCGCTAACAAACTTCAAGCTCGATGAAAGAGATGATGAACAATATAACTATGTAAACAATATAATTATGTGGAGAGGCTAACTAGGAGTAAAGCATAATAAATAAAAAAATATGATTTTCATGCTTTTATTCCAAAAGTAAGACCTATAGTATCAATAATATAAACCTAAAATATTTTTTAAAAAAAATACTACGGAGTGATAATATACAATGTCAAGATGGTTTTTTCTAGTTAATTCTTTTCTCTAGCTAATTCTCCAACTATCATCGCTCTTGAGGGATGACATCTATTATATGAAGGGAGTTAGAACTAGTGTTCAATTTAAATTGTTTGGAAAAAAATTAGAACTAGTGTTTTGAAAAATAATCTAACAAAAATATTTTGTTTCTATTTTTAAATTCAATCTACTCTATATACGGAGTGTTTTTTAGTTATAAAAAACGTTATTCTTAAGCAAGATCAAAAGCTATTTGCTTAAATGGTCTCTCAAATGGTTGGAACTTGGAACAATTACTTAAGAGTAGATAAATTAAATCATAATTTTACTATGATTATTTTTGAACATTTGTCGGTGGATGGTCTAGCTATTGAGTAATCGAAATCAGAGGGACGAGAGTGAGTAATTTTAACTTATTGTTTATCCTTAGCTATTCGGGGTTTTGTTCTTCATGTCTTAATTTTAACTGAAATTTATAGAGTATGAAATCTAGATTAATGAAATAGTTATTTAAACTAAAATCTAAGGACTGAAAATATGAAATTTAGAGATTGGAGAATGTTGTTTGGAGTGTGAATTTGAACCTTGATGTCATGGGATGACCCGGGGGCGTTCCGGTGCCCCGTTCGTAAAATTGACGATTCATACCCCCTAACCCTCCCGGTAAACCCCCCACCCGGCCCCGACCCAAACACAACCCCCCACCCCCTTCAATTGCACCCCACAAGTTGATTTTGACTTTGGAGTCAAATTTTAACTCCAAAGTCAAAATCAACTTGTGGGGTGCAATTGAAGGGGGTGGGGGGTTGTGTTTGGGTCGGGGCCGGGTGGGGGGGGTTTACCGGGGGGTATGAATCGTCAATTTTACGAATGGGGCACCGGAGCACCCCCGGGTCATCCCATGACATCAAGGTTCAATGTCATTTGAACCTTGCCCGTGTGAACACCTGTGAATAATAGTAACAAAAATACTAGGGGTGCACCAAAGCATGTTCACCACACACCGGGGTGGATCCATATCATAATGTGTTGTGATACTTTAATTTTTTACTTTTTTAGAGTTATGTAATTTATGACCCCAACTAAAAATATTAGGGACCCTAATTAAAAGTATTAGAGACCTCTATTAATAGTGTTTAGTAAGAAAAAAATGAGAGAAGTCAAATATTTAAATATTAAAAAAATAATTTTAAAGTGAAATATTTTAAAATGCAAAGATATATTTTAAAGTGGTACACTAAAAATATACGGAGTAATAATTAAACTAATTTATAATATTGGCATTAAATAAAAATATTATTTTTATTTTTTACTATTTTGAATACCTGTTTGAGGATAAATTCATTATTTTTTTTAAAGTCTTGCATTGCATGTATAAAAAAAAGTTTTGGGAAGATGTCCAAGAACAACCGAAAGGTGACCCCTACTATTTAATATTCTGGATCCGCCACTGACCACACAAATATAGTATTGATAAAAAAGTGGATAAAAGATATATGGTTAAAATAAATGGTGTGCAAATGAGGTACACCAAATTGGTGTACCCTAATAAGAATATAAAATTGAAAAGAGAGATACTAGTTCAGAACAATTTTATACATACATTTTACTTCCAACGACAATATGTGATCTCGGATTTATTGCAAATCAAAGTCTTTTTGTTATACGGATTTCGAGAATAACAATATGAACACGAAAAATACGACAACAGATTTAACGTGGTTCACTAATGTTGTGTTGGCTACATCCACAGGAAGAGAGAGAGCAATTTTATTACGGAGATGCAAAAACAGAATACAGAATAGGGATTAATAAAAAGTAAATCAATCGCTTTATTAAGGACTTTGTGAAAACTTGAATAACCACATAACGGAAATTAATATTTGTACTTCAATTTTGTTATTAGCACTTTATAATATACTATCATCTCTCACACATAAATAATAATAAATAATGTGTATTGGAGTGGTAATAGCAAAAAGTAGAGTGCAAATATTATTTCCTCCAAATAGCTTCATATTTTACATCCTCAAATTTCTTGACGTGGCCATGATAGATGTTGTTTAGACGGGCAAAAAAATCATTTCTATGTATACTCTTTAATTCTATTTCTTGTGAGATTTTACACGATTGTTTTTATTGTTTTTTTTTGTATAGGCCAGAGAGAGTATAAATCTATAGCAATGCAGACACGTTTGGTTTGTGCCATACATTTCCAAGGGATTATAAATTCATAATGCAACTCATAATGTGAATGCTCTCCCCAAACTATGAAAGCTGTTAACCAGTTTATAAGCCCATTTCTAGGAAGGCAATTATGGAATGTAATGTTCTTTTTTGAACCCCCAAGTCCCCAACCAAACCCCTCCCCCTCTTGGAAAAATATAATATTCTTTTGTAGTCGGTAGGCAACGCGCAGTTGACATGGCAAAGAGTGCCAAGAGAATAAAACTCGAGTTTGATTCCTAAAAACTGCGTTGAAAGACAGCTACACTAAACATAAGGCTTCTGCAAGTATCAGGTGCATGTTTCACTCTTTAGGATCAAAGTCTAATGTACCTCCTCTCCGCCCGGCCCTCCCGGGCTCATCCTTTATAGTGTCCTTTTTGTATTCATTGCTTGAGCTCAAAGGAAACGACTAAGATGTTCCTTTTTGTTTGTACAAAACCTTAATTAATGCACTGTGTTAACTTTTTTCAGCTACCAATATCAGAAAACCCAAGAAAATGCAGAAGGAATCACAAAAGAAAGAAAGATAAGAGGTCAAATACTACCAATTATGGGTGTTCACATGCAAAGAAAACAGATAAGAGAAACTGTGGAAGAGTGCTTTATTTGAACCTGGAAATGATACAACAAATTACATTACATCACCAAAAAGAATTGGCATTAAAACTTCCCATTTGATACAACAGATGATATGATATCACACAAAGTATGGCCATCAACCAAAACAATATCCACCATTTAAAAGAAAAACAAGAAAGAAAAGAAAAGAAAAAAAAATCTCTTGAGCTTCACTTCATCCTTCTTGGGAGGAGATTATGATCAGAGAGTGTCCTTATACAGATATACAACAACAGATCAAGTAGACAACAAAGGGTGTGTGTGGGACTGTGGGTACTTTTGTTTTAACATGTTTAATAATGGAAAAATGAAACAATGATAAGAGGAAGAATGAATGAAGAGACAGACAAACCAAAGATCACGAAGAATGTTTTTTTGGCAGTCTTTCAGTGTTGTGATCCCTTCTTTCCACCATTGCCATAGTAACTGAGGTACCATTGAACAAATTTCTTCAACCCAGTCTGCAAATCTGTTGAAGGCTTGTACCCGAGCTCCCTCTTCGCCGAGCTGATGTTTGCATGCGTGAAGGGGACGTCCCCATTCCTCGGCATCTTCATCACTTGCCTCTTCGCCTTCACCTTCAGCAACCTCTCCAATACGCTCACCAGATCCGAGACAGGGACCGGGGAGGTGTTCCCCAGGTTGAAAACTCTCAATTGGGCAGGGCCCTTCTTCTTCCCTCCGCTCCCTGTGCTTTTCTCCGCCGTGTCCAGAGCCGCCAAACACCCCTTCACTATGTCATCAATGTAGGTGAAATCCCTGGCCACTGTCCCGTGGTTTGCCCCTTCGAACACCCGAATTGGCTTCCCTTTCAATATGTCTTTGGTGAAGAAGAAGTAGGCCATGTCCGGTCTTCCCCAAGGTCCATACACCGTGAAAAACCGCAATCCGGTCAGGGAAAGGCCGTAGATGTGGTTGTAGGTGTGGGCGATTGCCTCGCCGGCTTTCTTGGTGGCGGCGTAGAGGCTCGCAGGCTGATCGGTTCTGTCGGATTCGGAAAAGGGGACTTTGGAGTTCAAGCCGTAGACGGAGCTTGAAGACGCCCAGACAATGGCGGGTTGCGGGTTCACGCTCTTGCAGACTTCAAGGAGACTGACGAGGCCGGCGATGTTGCTGTGGACATAGGACGCCGGGTTCTCCATGGCGTATCTGACGCCGGCCTGAGCGGCGAGATGCATCACGTGCGTGAACGGGACGATCTCGAACAGTTTCTTCACCAGTACGGCGTCGTTTATGTCCCCTTCCACGATGTAGACCCCGTTGCGTTCGAGGAGCTGCTGGCGGGCCCGTTTCAAGGACGGGTCGTAATAGTCGTTGAAAACGTCGAGCCCCACGACGCCGTCTCCGCGGCGTTTGAGGGCCGCCGAGACGTGGGTCCCGACGAAGCCGGCGGCGCCGGTGACAAGAACGGTGATGCCGTTTCTTGATCTGGGTTTCGCGGAGGCCCTGATCTTCTTCTCCCAGGACGGGCCGCCGTAGATGCTGGTTCTGAGGGATCTCCTGAAGAGATCTGAAGCGGCGGCGGCGGAGGAGGAGGAGGAAGACGGCGGCGGTGATCTGAAGAACATAACGTAGATCAAGGCCAAGAAGAGCAGGGACCAAAAGGTGAGTCTTGGGAGGGAGGAATGAAGCCGGAGCCTATTACTATTGTAAGGAGGCTTGAACTTTCCTGGGGATGTTGGAATATCATCATCGCCAATGTGCTTCAACCCAGACATTCTTCTCCTTCTTCTTGGATCGCCGGAATGTCTTGGCTAGGGTTAAAAAGGAGCAATCTTTCTTCTTCTCCTTCTTCTTCTTCTTCAGCGATTTACAGAGATTTCGTTGAATCTTGAAGAAAGGGCATCTGGGGAGGGGGAAAATGGAGGAGAAGAAAAGATGAGAGAGGTCTGTCTGCCCGAAGATGAGAGGAAGGGCAGAGAGGAGGGAGGGAAGAAGTATTGGTGCCTCAAATGTGGGAATCTTTATGGTTTCTTGGAAGGGGTGGTTGTTGGGGGTGGAGGGTATTCCTTCTTCCTTCCCCTTTGGCTTTGATTTGGGCTCTGGTTCTACAGAAAGAGAGAAGAGAAGAGAGAAAGAGAGAGAGATTGATGATGGTGAATAAAGAAAGAAAGAAAGAAAAGGAGTGATTGGAGGGAGAGAGAAAAGAGGGGGGGAAGAAGACAGAGGTGTGGTCAGTGGTGGAAGAAGAAAAATGGCAAAGAATGAGAGGGAGGAATGATGGGTGGACTCATGATTAATCCACCCATCCTCAATCTCTATTTCTACCACTACTAGTCCAACATTGAATGACTCCATCCACTACCCCCAAAATTACAAATATTCTTTCATTACTCTCATTTTCATTTTTGTCATCTCACTTTTTTATGATTTTAAATATTTTGATCATTAATATTTAAATTATAAACAGAATTTTTAAACATTTTTAAAATATATAAATTAATTGATATTCCATCAGTCCTAAAATGATTTACTTTTTTATTATTGTGCTCTCTCGATAATTCTTGTTTATTTGTAATTTTTATTGATCATTTGATAAGTAAAAATATTATTGGCACCTTTTTTTGTTAAATTTTTGATGTAGTACTTATGAACGTGAAATAGTAAACCTTAATTGAACTCGGTAGAATCGCTTGTCTTCTTCCTAAGTAATTTATTCAAAAAAGTTCCGGTAATCTCCCTCCGTCCCAAATTACAATGCATGTTCACTATTAACAGGGTCAAACTTCATTCATTTTTTTTCTATTTTTCGTTAGCAATTTGATAAAATAAAGTATTACTGTCACTACTAGTTTTGTAAATTTTTTGATGTAATATTTTAATATGTAATTTATATTTTTTAACACTATACCATTTGTCATATAAAATAATTTGAAAATAATTTCAGTCAAACATCGTAAACCTAGACAGGCACTATAAATTGGGACGGTGGGAGTAATACAAATTGTGAGTAATTAAAGTTAAAAAATTGTTCATTTGGTTCAAAAAAATCAAACAAGACAAACACACTTAGACGGAGGCCGTAGTTTTTTACTCCAATCTCTCTATATGAAACCACAATCCATGAAATTTTATTAGTATTATTTTCTCTGTCCAATGTAAAAACAACAATTTTACTTTTACAATCAAACTTCATATTATTTTCGGAGTATATTACTCCCTCCGTTCCAAATTATAATGCATGTTTACTATTCACAGGGTCAAATTTCATTCACTTTCTTTCTCTATTTTCGTTAGCAATTTGATAAAATAAAATATCATTGTCACTACTAGTTTTGTAGATCTTTTGATGTAGTTTTTTCATATGTAATTTTTATTTTTAAATTCTATATCATTTGTCATATAAAATGGTTTGAAAATAATTTCAGTCAAACATCGTAAACCGAAACAGGCGTTATAAATTGGGACGGAGGTAGTACAAAATTTACAGCATGAAATTACTACTCATAAACTTGTTTTGATACACGGCGTAAAGATTAAAAGATTAACTTTTCTGATTAGAAAACATTACTCCCTTCATTCTTAGATATCTGACCTATATAATTTCTTACATTCATTAAAAATTATGGAGTAAATGAATATAGACACCACATATATCCATAACTTAGATAAATTTAACTATAAAAAGTCAAAGCGTGATAAGAAAAAAAATGGCTATGCAGCAATCACATTAAGATCAAGTTTATTAAATTTTCAAACAGAAGAAGAAAACATCAAACTTTCAAGCAGTCAAATCACTATGGTACAAATGGAATCTTGAAATTCCAAAAAAAAGGGCCTTCTAGTTGTTCTTCTCCACGGTTTTTGGAACACAAAAACACATAACTTTGATGCCTGATATGTTTGTAAAGCATCATCCAGCTGAGGCAGAAACCAAAGCATCATGCATGGCAGGCAGGGTAATGAATAATATATAGCTGTTTCAAGATTCTTCAACCAGAACTTTCAATGCTTGGAGAACTTTTCAAGAACATCAAAGTAATCTGGGAAGGTCTTGCGAGTGCAACCGGGATCCTTTATGGTCACGGCCACGTCCGCGCAAGCAGCCAGAGAGAATGCCATTGCCATTCTGTGGTCGTCGTAAGTGTCAATTTCTGTCACGTTTAGTTTCTCCGGTGGGGTTATTATACAGTAATCTGGACCTTCTTCCACCGCGGCTCCCAACTGAATTGGAAAAATAAGTGTTTTAGCGAAAAACACCCAAGCGATTTCGTTTTTTTCAAAAACGGAACAAATCAAAAGGTTGATGGAGTTGGAATGTATTGTCTACCTTTCTAAGTTCGGTGCATATAGCAATCATCCGCTCGGTTTCCTTAACTCTCCAGCTAGCAACTAAGGAGAAGAAACAAAGATAATGAGCTTCTAAAACCAGTCATATGATGATAGAATGTAATTTTGATAAAAGAACTGCAAAAAAAAGGGAGTCTTGCATATATACCGTCTCTAATCGTGGTGGGGCCATCAGCAAATAGTGCAACTACGGCAAGGGTCATGGCGACATCCGGCATTTTATTCATGTTCACATCAATGCCACGTAAGTGTTTCCTTGTCGAAAGTTGACGTGGCGGCCCTTTCACTGTGACACTGTTCTCTCTCCATGAAACTTCGGCTCCCATTTTTCCAAGAACCTCAGCAAACTTAACGTCCCCCTTTAGAAAAAGAAGAAGAAGAAGAGTGAATACAATGTGATTCAATTCCCTTGAGATTAGGATTGTGTGGTCCTTGGTTTGAGGGAAGGATTGTTGGGAAACCAATATAATAGCGGAGTTAGGGCGACGACAGCCAGTCTCAACAATAATCAATCAAGCAAACTTGAAATTATCTACCAAGTTAATAACCAATTTAGTCTTTTTTGTAATGGAGTAGGCAATTTGAACCTTATTACATCATCTTGTCAAGGATAGAAGAAAGGGTGATTAATAAATACCTGTAGGCTGCTTGTTCCACAGCCTTCAACTGTGATGGTACCCCCAGTAACAGCTGCACCAGCTAAAAAATAACTAGCACTTGAAGCATCACCTTCCACGTACGCATTTCCGGGAGATCTACAAACGTGGAAATTATGAATGATCAAAAGCCCCGTTTAATTTCTAAAAAACCAACAAACATCTGCAATAACACGAAATCTACTCACATGTATTTCTGACCTCCACGGATCAAGAACCGGTCCCAGCTATCACTGTGCTCTACGCTGACCCCAAAACGTTCCATCAACTTTATAGTCATTTCAACATAAGGGACGGAGATCAGCTTATCGATTATTTCAATTTCCACGTCGCCTAAAGCGAGGGGAGCAGCCATGAGTAAAGCAGTCAAGTATTGGCTGCTGACTGATCCTGAGAGCTCCACCAGTTAACAATTTCCACAAGAATCACTTAGAATGATGCAAGATTTGGAAAACTATGTTTTGCAGCCCACGCAGGCAGGCAACTGCATATTACAAGTTACCCTAAGGGTCCGTTTGGAACACAATAATCGCTATACAAAGAAAAAGGGAGGATAAATATGTGTGAAGTTTATATAAAGACCAAAGAACAATAAATATATGTGAAGTTTTCAAAAGTTGGGATCAAATTAGATTTTTGTTTGAATTTTCTACGGTGAAACCACCATACATGAGAAGTCATTTTCCTTCAACAATTTTTCTCAATTTCTCTAGCATTTTCCAAATTCTAAGTATAGTGTAAGTCTCACCTTCCCTCCTGGAAGACCCCCCTTTCCATTGACTCGAACCGGGGGACAGTTTGTGCCAAGAAAACAATCAACATCTGCTCCAAGCTGCTTCAGGCCAAGGACAAGATCCCCAATTGGTCTCTCTCTCATCCTAGGAACTCCATCGAGTACGTATCTAATGGAAAATCAAAACAATTAACAATCCGGAGGAAATTGTTCCCATCAATATCAAGAATTAGCAATCTTGCAAAACCTTGCATTTCCACCGGCAGCAACAACTGCAGCAGTCAATGGTCTCATTGCTGTTCCTGCATTCCCCAGGAAGAGTTGTATTTCATCCTTTGTTTCATTACTGGCGGGGAAGAGACCGCCGGAACCTTCTACGGTTGCTTGCTGGATTGAACCATCTTCTTCAACCCTAAGGCCAAGTGTTCTCAAAGCACCAAGCATATAACGAACATCATCACTGTTCAGTAAATTTTCCACCACAGTCGTTCCCTGTGCAGAAACACGTAATCAAGCCCAGAACAGATTAACAGGCAGAAATCATCAAAGAATTGAGTCAAAGCATATCCTCCAAACATGATTCAAAAAAAAGATGCAATCTTTAGACTGACATGTTACAAAATTTCACAAATTTACCTGAGAAAGGGCGGCAAGGAGGAGAATGCGATTAGAGACAGATTTAGAGCCGGGCAGCTTGACGGTGCCGGAAATCTCTGTGATGGGTTGAAGCACAATCTCCTCGGGAGCTTTGGGAAGCATCTCGGCGGTTGCCACGGATGCCCGAACTGGCGACCGGGTCGCGGTAAAAATCGAACCTTTATTATTACTCCTCTCCAAGAATTTAACAGAGACCGCTGAATTGCACCACCCGTTTGATCCAGGGAGAAGAGAAGGTGAAGGGAGAAGGGTTTGGGGTGTAGAGAGATTTTTGGGGTTGAAACGCAAACTCTGGATCATGGCGGTGCTAGCTTGAGCCATGTCTCTTGCGCCTTCGTCGCAGAGCTTGAGTGTGCCTTTTTTTTTCTTCAACGGAAAATTGGAAATAGGTAGGTGGGTTGGAGAGTACAATTCAACAACCTGTTGGTGTTAAGTAGCGAGAGAGGTTGGTGGCCCAACAAATGGGTCTGGGGAGTAGATTTTAGACTCAATTTCTCAACAACTATTGAATTTTGACTTTGTAGGTTTTCACTTTCAATGCCAATTCTAGCTTTTTTTTCCTCTTCAATTTTCATGACAGAACATGAAAAACACAAAAGATTATTTGATTTGAGTGAAATAGTCAAACAAATACAATAGATTCCTATAAAAATAATACTCGTGTAACATTTGTGATTTAACCAAAAAACAATAAACGATGAAAAAACCCTTGAGCATTACCATTAGTTTATAGTTGTCTTTTCAAAAATTTTTTTGAAGAAAATCGATCACATGTCATTAATGAAGAAGAGAACCAACAAAGTCAGGTGAAATCGAATCCCAAAAACCAACCCCATTGTCAACCCGCCTAACAAGGGTGTTGGCAATAACATTACAAGAATGAAGAACAAAAGCGATAGACATAAAGATAAAATCCGACATGAGAGTCTTGATCTCCTCTACCAAAGAGTCAAAATATGAATGATTGAAAGACGTACCTTTCGTTGAATGACCTCCACCCATTCGAGGCACTCGGGGAACACTTCGACCTCATAAATGCCCGTGGACTCCAACCAAAGTAAAAGCTTTCTGCCAATTAACAATCGTCTCTGCTAACAGTAGTTTTTGAGCACATTGCACCTGATCACACACAGAAACGTGAAAAAAACCAGTCGGCCCAAATAGCACTCCACAAAGCCCATCACATCTATTCTTGCAAATAATTAAGCATCCACATACGCTTTAGCCAACTCAATTTTAGAACTTGTCACTGTAAAATTATGCTTAGGAGTCAATGTCAATCGTTCCTTCCACCCAATAATCATGGCTAGAATCCAATAAACTCGATCCCTGGCAATACAACGGGTCTCTTCAAAGTTAGTTGAATTATAATTTCAATATGATTGATAATAAGTGAGACATGTTACATTGCCCTGATTCCTTCAAAGATGCCAAATACAAAGTACGGAGTACTTTTATAACTCTGGCCACTTCTTAAAAATGGAATCCAAATTTATCCATTAAGCACATCTTTCGATCATTAAGAGCAGCTAAAGAATGAGGTCTAAGAGCATCTCCAAGGTAGCCTTTATAGTTTAAAAAATAGAAATTTTAGACTTTACTATTCATAATAATGAGCTCCAACGGGTCCTTCAAAAAACCAAACATGCTATATACTCCTTCCGTCCACAAATAAACTTTACGTTCACTATTCACAAGGTCAAACTTTATTCACTTTGTTGGCCTATTTTCGTCACTCATTTGATAAAATAATATAGTCATGTCACCTCTAGTTTTGTAGATCTTTTGATATAGTTCTTTAATATGTAATTTTTATTTTTTAATTCTACACCATTTTTCATATAATATGATTTGAAAATAACTTCAGTCAAACATCGTAACGCGTAATGTAAAGTTTAATTTTGGACGGAGGGAGTATAAAAGACCAAAAGTTATCTGCTATAATAAAATTATTGAATTATGATTTCAACTCAAGGAAATAATTGTGTACAAGGTAGTTTATATAGATGGAGATTCCTACATCAATTAGGATTCTCCAAATATGGTAATTAACTATAATAACAATCCTTCTATAACTATAACTATTACCATAGTTATCTAACATCTCCCCTCAAGCTGAACGCCGTGAAATGAGCGGAAGCTTGGCAACCAATGCAGAGTACCGTGGTGAAGAGAGAGCTTTTGTGAGAAGGTCTGCAAGTTGCTCATGGGACGGAACATACGAGACTGTCATTTGTTCAGCAATTACCTGTTCTCGTACAAAATGGCAATCAGTACCAACATGCTTCATTCGCTTGTGAAAGACAGGATTCTTTGTCAGACAGATGGTGGACTGATTATCACAAAAAATGTGAGGAGGAGGAAGCTTAATCTTTAGGATGTCAAACAAATAGGTGAGCCACATTACTTCAGCTGCGGCAGCCGAGAGTGCTCGGTACTCGGCTTCGGTGGACGACCGGGACACGCGGCTTTGCTTCTCCGTACTCCAAGAGATCAGATTTGAGCCCAAGTATATCAAGTAACCAGTAACTGAGCGTCCATCAATCATATCATTAGCCCAATCTGAGTCAGAGTATGCCTGAATGACTTGTGGTCCATGCCTGAATATTAAGCCATGA